CTTTTTTTTTGAGATGCTCACATCTTATCCAGCTGGGGTCCAGACACTGATTCCACACCTTTAAGTAGTTCAGCGTCTTTGAATCACATGCAATTCCCATAGGAATCTGAGAAGTCCCATTAGCCAGACGCGTGGCTTTTCAGGCCCCGATAGAGAGGTGCCCGTGGGATCACAGTTCTGGGTCCAGCTCTCGCCCTTCGTCAGGGAAGGCAGCTGGCCTCTGGGCTCGGGGTTGCCTCCGTTAAAGGGTCCTCACACTGCTTGCTTGTGGATCCGGGCCTAAGAGGGCCACAGCACTGAGATGGGCTTCTTGGCTGGCCAGGAGTGAATGCACGAGCTTCCCTGAAATCCCACTCGCCCCAGATGGTCAACATTAATGAGCATTCTCTAGCACAGAAATGGAACGTGTGCAAATACCCTGAATGTTATCATCAGTGGGGAGTAGCTGAGGCTCAGATTGCCAAGGCCCACCCATAGAGGATCTGAGTGTGCTCTGGGAATTTGCCTTTTTAACAGGTACCCAGGTGATTCTGCTGCAATGCAGGATCCACAGGAGAGATGCAGCTCCCTCCGAACTGGTGGAATAGCGCCTGGGGGAGGGGATAAGTCCCTGTCAGAGCTGGGTTGGCACTTCCCTGCCCAAAGCTGCTGCTAGAACTGACCTCCCACAAACCTGCTCCTGGGTCTCCCTGTCACAGTAAGTTGGCAAGATATGGATACCCTGTGGACTCCTCTTGGCCTCTCCCCTCTCTGCTTCTCCCTCCACTCCATCCACCAGCAGACCTTGTCAACACCACCTCAGATATTCCGGGTCTGGCCCTTTACCTCGCCACCAGCACTTCCTGCTACTAAGGCACCGCTCCTGCCCGAGGTTCCTGAAGTCGGATCATGTCACTCTTTTGCTGAAAACCCTTGGCTGCTTTCCAGCTCACTCAGCCTCAAGGCCCATCCTCCTTGTGACCTACAGGTCCTGGGAGACCTGCAGGGTTACCCCTCTCCCTTCTCTCCTCTGTCCTCCCACAGCCCCTCCCGCCTGACAGACAGGCTGTCTGCCTCCACTGTCCCCTCCTCCAGGCCTCGGCCCAAAGGCTGCCTTCTCCAGAGGCCTGACATTTAAAGGAGCACATTCACCTTCCCCGCTAGTCCTTCCCTGATTTCAGTCTCTGCACAGCTCTTGGTACAATCCTCCATACTAAGTAATCTACCTGTCTGTTGACTCCTGCCTAGGAGATTGTAAGCTCAGGACAGGAATACATTGTCTTTCTCTCACTAACCCCCACCCCCACCCCATCCACCCTCACCTCCACTCCACTCTAGCCCCAATTCCTAGACCAGCACCAGGGCCATAGTGAGTGCCCAATAAATATTTGTTGAATTATTGAATGAAGATTGCAACAAGCATTTGCTATGCACCTAGCAAGCTGCCCCTGTGTGAAGTGAGTGCACCTGTGTGGGAAGGCAGGCAGGGAAAAGGGGCCCCAAAGGCAGGCCTTACAGCCCCCTGATTAGGAGCGAACCTATTTGAGTGCCCCGGGCGCGGCTGAGCTTGTGACGCAGTGCTTGGCTCAGTGAATTCCATCCTGAGGATGCTCTGTTCCTCACGCACACCAGATTTTAAAAGACTCCCAGGCCAGCTTAGCAATAACGAACTTAACCCATGGTTTGTCTCATCCTAGCCTTTCCTGGGAGCCTAACCATTATTTTTCTTTGTTAGAAAAACATAGCCTGCATGCCAGTCAGCTTAAACATGCACAGTTGTCTTTGTTTGTGGCTGGCTGCATGGCCGTGCCTCTCTCTCTACCTATGTAGAAGCCATGCCTGTAGCTAGTTTTTTAGTTGAATTAATCTAATGCTCCACAGCTGTGGTCCTCCATCCCTTCTCTCCGTCTCATAACCCACTCTTGGAATGGGAAATGGGTCAGAGAACGAGTCTTCACCAAGGAACAAACGGGGGCACATGACACAGATCCATCCTTTCCTTAATTTGGGGCAGAGCAGCGTTAGAGTTTGGTTTTATTTTGAACTGGGTTTCCCGAAAATTACTACACTGTAGGCCTGCATGAGATTGCTTTTTCATCTTGGGGCTCAGAGTTTACTAATTTAGAGAACATCATTTCTGCAATGAGGCGTGAGAAGAGGTGTCCTCCCGATTTGAGAAATGAGGAAACTGAGAGACGACAGCCTTTCTGTAGTTTCCCACGGCCATCTGAGCCATGCTGGGGTAAGTTCTAGGCCAGTGGTCGGCAAACTCATTAGCCAACAGAGCCCAATATCAACAGTGCAACGATTGACATTTCCTTTGAGAGCCAGATTTTTTAAACTTAAACTTCTTCTAGCGCCACTTCTTCAAAATAGACTTGCCCAGGCCGTGGTGTTTTGTGGAAGAGCCACACTCAAGGGGCCAAAGAGCCACATGTGGCTCGTTAGTCAGTTTGCCGACCACGATTCTAGAACTTGGGACCCTCCGGGTTCTAGAGGGAGAATCCGGGTGGCAGCCGGGCCTGTGAGCACACTCAGGTGTGCCTTCCCTCCTAGTGCTACTTCTTTGCATTTAGTTGCAACTTTGAGCTGGAGAAAACAGACTTTGACACACCCAAGCCACATTCATTTCTTTTTACTTCCTTTCTTAAACCAAAGGTAGACAGTGCTAGATATATAGCTTCCCTCTTAGAATAGTTTTTGTCATTCTGTCTTGAGTTTTTGTCACTTTTCTGTTTTAAAAGCTGTTTGGGGTTAGGATGCCTTGTTTTTAATTTTTATCAGGCTGGGGTTTCTCAACTGTGCCGTGCAGGCCCTTGTCCCAAATCTTGAGTCACCAACTTCCTTCTCACTCGTTTCCCAGCCAGATGTTGCCCTGGAGTCAAGAGTCTGTGTTGCCACCCCCTCAGCTTGCTGGACCTCAGGAATCCGTAAACAGCACTCGGATGCTGCCCAAAAGCTCCTGCTCTCGCTTCCCCCTACCTGTGTTTTCCCAGGGTGCTGCGATACCCCTCCGATCATCGCTGCCATCTTCTGCCGTTAAGTCTGATAGCTCAAACCTTCCTTGCTGAAGCCTCTGCTAACTAGCCCCAGATCCCTGGCCAGATCCTTCACCCAGATCTCATGATGCGTGGACCAGGCTTGCCTGGAGGGGTAATAGAATCCTGGGCCAGACTTCCTGAGTTCAAACCCAGCTCTGCTGCCTCCTGCCCCTGTGACTTCAGGAAAGTCACTTGAACCTATATCTCAGCCTGTTCATCTATGGAACACGGATCAAAATCGTCCCCTGCTCTACAGAAATTAAGAGTTCAAGTTCATAGGGTAGTGTCTGGCATACATTAAGCACTAGTTCAGTGTTTACTTTGTTCCGCCTGGTGGGTACTAGTCTCTATGGAACTACTAGTGGCCCAGTGCATGAATTCGTGCACAGGTAAGGTCCCTAGGCTGGTGGAATCAGGGCCGATCGGGCCCTCTGGCTGCTGGCCAGGGCCTTCCTTCATTCTGCACCACCCCCTGGTGGTCAGCGCATGTCATAGCAAGTGGTTGAACTCCCAGTTGGTCGAACTCCAAGGGGACAATTTTCATATTAGCCTTTTATTATATAGCATATTGTGACATATACAGTGCTACATCTTCCCCCACTGGTTTCTTTGTTTCTGTTCTCTGCTGGAATACTGGGCAAATATTGATCTCTCCCCCCCCCCCCCCTCACCCAATCATATTGCTTCCCCTCTCATTCCCTCTTTTCTAGACCTAGACCTGGGACACCACTACCTAAACTAGGGTGTCTGTCTTCCTAGGAAGACAGCAGCATCAGTCTAGCACGAGAGTTCTGTACCTTTCCTGTTGGCACAGATACCCACTACCAGCTCCTGGGGATACAGAAGCAGAGGTGTGCACAGCCCCTGCGCCTCCTGGTGGCTTTGCTTAGGATTGGCATCATCCCCAGTGTCAGGGAGAAAGCTGTCTCTTGTCCATCAGTGCCCACCCCAGCCATACCCCACCCATGTGGCCATTTATGATGCATGGTGTTTGCTCCAACTCCTTTGTTTCTTGGTAGCACTTGGAAGCTTGCTTGTACCCAGGTCTGCTGGGGCTTCCAGGAGACTGGGGCGGTGGCCAGGCTGTACCACCGCATGAAGTCCTGCCTGTTTCCCAAAAACCTTGCAAAGGCTCAGGGCTTTCAACAGCTGGATGGACTCCCAAGTCTTTCCCTCCATTTTCTCCCACACACTTTCCTTAAGGGAGCTGCGTGTTCTTTAAGGCCCCTCTCCTCAAAACAAACAAACAAAAACAAAATTTTTTTTCTAGGTAGTGAGATAAGACATAGGCTATTCTCTTTAAGGTCAAGGTCTCCTAAAAGGAGAGAAGCATGAATGGTTAGGCATAAAATGACATTTGTCTCTTTTGTCTTCCTCTGAGGGGGTCAGGTTGAACCCAAATTGCTGATCTTTGGCTGTGTTTGACCCCCACGTTGGCAGTTTTGTAGAGTTCACCCTAACACGTTCTTACCGGTGGGCTCTCTGTTACTCCAAGCAGAGTGCTCAGCTCACGCTGGCTCACCAGCCTGGCAATGAGACCAGGTGGGAGCCCTCGGCGTCAGCAGCCGTTCTTGCCAGACCGCGCAAGTTAATCCCCCTGTGTTGAGTGTTATTCCTGTCTCTCAAACATCAATACCCACGTGTTTGTTACAATCTAAACTGATGTAACGGAGAAGATACTGTGTCCACGATGAAGCTGGCAGCATCATGGATGCTAGGATCACCTAGTCCTGAGGTCGGCAAACTGCAGCTTGTGAGCCACATGCGGCTCTTTGGCCCATTGAGTGTGGCTCTTCCACAAAATACCACGGCCTGGGCCAGTCTATTTTGAAGAAGTGGTGTTAGAAGAAGTTTAAGTTTAAAAAATTGGGCTCTCAAAAGAAATGTCAATCGTTGTACTGTTGATATTTGGCTCTGTTGACTAATGAGTTTGCCAACCACTGGCCTGGTCCTTTAATGCAGGTTTGTTTGACTTTCCAGACTTCTTGTATAGAATTCCCAACAAGGAGACCTGTGAACACAACCACCAAGCGTGCTCCCAGAACGCCTTCTGCACTGACTACGCCACCGGCTTCTGCTGCCACTGCCAGTCCCAGTTTAACGGAAATGGGGAGCACTGTCTGCCGAGAGGTGAGGCGTGCCGCCTGACAGGCTGGGGCCTGCTCCGTGTCTACTTCTGCCGCTGGCTCATTTCCAGCTGCCACTGGGAGCTCTGACTGTACACCTCATACCTCTGCTCCCTGAACCGAAGCCTTAGCAGCTCGCAGATGCTCAATGGATGTTTGAGGAATGAGCATATTTGGGCTAATGTCCCCATTTGAGGATTAGCCAGAAATGTTAATCCTTTTTTGCCAGCTCATTAGAGTCAAAGTGGATGGGAGAGAGGGACGATGGGAGAAAAGAGATCGAAGACAGGTGCATTTCATACTGAGATGGGTAATTGGTTGGTCCGGGAATCATGACGATGGCTAATGATTGAGTTGGGGGGGGGGTTGCAGTGGAATTACGTTTTCCGTGGGCCCCTCCCCAGCCTGGATGATGACCTTGCTGTTTTTCAGGGGCGCCTCATCGAGTCAACGGGAAGGTGAGCGGCCGCCTCCTCGTGGATCACACCCCCGTGACCTTCACAGACGTGGACCTCCATGCTTACATTGTGAGCGATGATGGCAGAGCCTACACAGCCGTCAGCCACATCCCCCAGCCTGCCGCCCAGGCCCTTCTCCCCCTCACCCCCATCGGAGGCCTGTTTGGCTGGCTCTTCGCTTTAGAGAAACCGGGCTTTGAGAACGGCTTCGGCTTCATAGGTGAGCAGGGCCTCGGACAGGCCGGTGGTCACCGTGGTTTCGGTGGCGTGGCTCCTTGGATTCTTATTCTGCGTCCCAGAGCCACAGGCGCGTGGTTTCCTGTCTGGAGGCAGCTGGGGCTGGTTTGGCCTCGCGGGGCTGCTTTTGAAAGACAGTGGTTTCTTCTCAGTGGCATCTGCTCCAGTACCTTTGTTTTGGGAAGCTCCGGGGGCCCTCCTGTTTTAACGGGCAGAATAAGTGGGAGATGGAAGGAACCGCTGCAGCGTTGAGCTACCCTGGCCCACCGTGGCTTCCTCCAAGTTGTCCTGACAAATAGAATGATTCCATCTGGAGCATTTGTGCCTTCTCGCCCCCATTTGTTGAAACTTGTTGGTCAGGCTCTTGTTTAATTGAGTTATGCAGAGATCTGTCCAATAGGGAGGTTCTGAGGGAAACAATAGGGCACCTGGAGATGATAGGACATCATGGGAAAGGACTACCTTTTCTCTTCTCCCGTCCCGACCACTCTGACCTATGAGAGGAGAGACCAGAGCTTCTCAGACTTTATCCAGCACACAGATCCCCTGGGGTTCTTGTGCATATGCAGTGTCTCCCTCAGTAGGCTCGGTTAGGGTCTGATTTTGTTTTCCTTACAAGCTCCCAGCTGATGCTTATGCTGGTATAAGGACCACCCTGTGGTAGCGAGAGTGCAGAGGGTAATTTTTGGCTTCTCTGCTCTCCACCTGAAAAAGCTCGTTTCCTGGTAGATTTATCTTATTGCACATAAAGGGCTGAGAGAAAAGTCCCACTCCACCCCCACCCCTAATCTCTAGCTGTAGAGCTCAACAGCTGTTAGAGGATCTTGCTCTTAATAAGGGTTTGACTAAAACCTTGAGTCAAACGTAGATAAATATAATACAGAATACCCAGTTACATGTGGATTTCAGATAAACAATGAATAATTTTAATAACTTCATGTAAGTATGCCCCAAATATTGTGTGGGGCATGCTTATGCTAAAAACATATTCATTATTTATCTGAAACTGAAGTGTAACAGGATATCCTGGTTTGTTGGTTCGTTTGTTTTTGCTAATTTGGGCACCATTGGAAAGAGAAAGGTCAGTGATGTTTCCAGGAGTTTATTTCTCACAGAAAATAAGCCCCTACAAAAAAGAAATGGTGTGAGATGTGGCAGGATAGCAACACCCTCTGTAAGAGGGAAGTTGAGGAGCTGATGTAATCGACAGCTGGCAGCACTTAGTCTTGGGGATCACATGACCTCCTTAGGGCCTTCCCTCATCCCCCTCCATCAGCAGTGGAAATTGGGGGGCGGGGAGAAGGACATACGCACTGGTGATTATTACTAGAAGATGCAAGACCTCTTTTCATCTCTATACCTACTTTTTCGCCCCCTCCAGGTGCTACATTTGTCCATGACATGGAAGTTACTTTCTACCCAGGAAAGGAGAGGGTTCAGATCACTCAGGTGGCTGAGGGGCTTGACCCAGAGGACTATCTGATCATTAAGACCAACATTCAAGGCCAAGTGCCTTACATCCCAGCAGGTTTCACAGCCCACGTGGCTCCCTACAAGGAGCTTTATCACTACTCAGACTCAGGTATGTGTAACTGGTCTTCCCATCTGTAAGATGAGAATGGTACATATCACCCAAGACAGTGTCGGAGATTAAGTGTTACTACATGGCATGTCCTTAGATGAGTGTGTGGCATGTAAAATAAGCTTAATGTCCTTTTTTTCATTTTTGTTGTTAATATCAAATTTATAGTGTAAATAAGCAGACTGTCAGCTGCTATACACAAGAATCTTAATATTCCTACCCAATACTTTCAAATAATAATAATGTCATCAACAACAACTTTGTCTTTGGGGATTGGTAGGGATGCTATAATTATAAATAGTTTTTAACACTTTTGCTCTCTGGGCCATGTCAAAATAGTGATTATTGGAATTTAGACTCATCCTATAACCTTATTTCCGCCTGCTTTAAAGTGACAGACATGCTGCAGTGTTGTAAAATTAATGCCAGGTTTGGAGTCAGAAGATAGAAAAGCATGTCCTGGATCTGCCACTTAAAATAGGTGGGGAAAAGGTCATCATCTGAGAGCCTGTTGTCTCATCTTCAGAATGAGAATAACAACACCTTTTCTGTCCACCTGACATGGGGGAGATGTGCAAAGCGAGGTCTTTGTAACACATCACCCGAATGCAGGATCCTGCCGGTCACAGCTGCCACACGGCCGTTTGCGTGGGTTGTCTCTCCTTGGCCCTTGCTCCTCTTACTGCGTGAGGACTGGGCTCCAGGCAGAGATGCAGAGAAGAGAATGGCTGCTGAGACCTGGACTGTACAGAGGACAGTGGGTGCCAGGTAACTGGCCTGTGCTCCCGACTCGGGACTCAGATTGAAAGAAATGACGCCTTCCTTTCCCTGGAGCCCTTCAGACGTATTCAGGCACTGGGTGTGGGAAGCCATCCCCTGTGTGATGTAGAGGATGGACTGGCTAAAATCATGGGGTGCAGAGTCAGGTGACCAGACGTCCCTCTTTTGGCGGGACAGTCCCGATTTTTTTTAACAATTTGTCCCGCATCCCACGATGTTTTTAAAAAGTCCAAAAAATTTAAAAGAATCTTTCTAAAAATGGGGACTTTTAAAAAATGCCACAGGACACGGGACAAATTGTTAAAAATCGAACTGTCCCGCCAAAAGCGGGACGTCTGGTCACCTTAATAGAGTCAGGTGGCCACATGCCAGCCTTGCATCTTTGACTACTTCTTAGCCTCTATAAGGCTCTGCCCACGATCACAGGGTACACCTCATGGGCTGGCACATAGTAGTACTTATCTTCACATAGTGACAAGCAGTGACCTGACCTCCTTCCTCTCAGTACTTTGGCTCTGGGTCAGCTCAGGTTCTGGGGATTGCCTTGTAGGTTCCCATGTAAACTCAGGAACTTCCCAAGCGAATATGTCCCAGGATTTAAATAAAAATCTATGCGCAGACAAACATGCTCTGTGTGAAATTCTCTGTTTTTAATATTTTTCAAATTTACCGGTTTGCCTCCATAATGTGTCTATTGCAGCTGTGACCTCCACAAGTTCCAGAGACTATTCTCTCACCTCTGGTGCCATCAACCGAACACTGTCCTACCACATCCAGCAGAACATCACGTACCAGGCATGCAGGCACGCCCCCAGAGCCCTGGGCACCCCCGCCACCCGGCAGCTGACGGTGGACCGGGCCTTGGCCATGTACAGCGATGAGGAGAGAGTGCTCAGATTTGCTGTGACCAGTCAAATTGGCCCTGTTGAAGGTATAGATTCCTTTTTTGTTCTTGGGGAAAATTACATGTAAGCTTTCTTAATACCTTTTTGAGTCGCCTCAGAGTGATTCACAGAGGTTACTAATGGTTGCTGTGCCAGGCTCTGTGTTTTATGTGCTGGGTATAAAGATGAATAAAGCAGGGTCCTGTCCCTGAGGTGGAGACAGAGGCAGAAATGGAACTTTGAGAACAATATCCTTGCCAAGATTGGGAATGGAGCATCATATGTGAGGCTGGTTTGTAACAGAAATGATGAGCACTAACCTGTATTGCAACATGTATTGGTAATACAACTGGGAACAAGCTGGGGCCAAGTTAGTAGGAAGAGGGATGCTGGCAGGTAGTTGTTATAATTGTGATAAGCACAGGGTGCTTTTAGCCTGGTCTGGAGGTTCAGGGAAGATGTCTCTAAGGCAGAGACAATTTAGCTAAAACTTAAAGGTGGGACAAAAATCCAATGCCCCCCAAAAAACAAAACAAAATACAACTGACATGTATGAAAAACCTACAGTTGACACCACACTTAATGAGGAAAGACTAGATGCTTTTTCTGTAAGATCAAAAACAAGCCAAGGATGTTTGCTCTTCTATTCAACATGGTTCTAGCCAGGGCTATTAGTCAAGAAAGTGAGACATTGGAAAGGAAGAAGTAAAATGATCTGTATTATATAGCATGTTCTTATATGTAGAAAATAATCTAAAGAATTCACATTAAAAAACTATTAGAACTAATAAGCAAGTTCAGCAAGGTTGCAGGATATAAGGTCAATATACAAAAATTAATTATATTTCTATATAGTATTAATGAGCAAACTGGAAGGAAATTAAGGAAACAATTTCATTCCAAAAATAATAAAATACTTAGGATTAAATTATAAATTTTTAAAAACATAATATGTCTACAAAGGAACCTATAGAACATTTTTGAAAAAAATTGAAGATCTGATAAATGGGAAAATATTCCATGTTCAAAAATAAAAAATAACGTAGTATTGTAAAGATTGCAGTACTTCTTAAATTGACCTATAGATTCAATACACTCCTGTCAGCTGGTAGTGTGTGTGTGTGTGTGTGTGTGTGTGTTTTGAGAAATTGACAAGTTGATCCTAAAATTCATATGGAAATTTAAGGATCCCACAAGAGCAAGATCATCTTGAAAGAGAACAACAAAATTGGAGTATTCATACTTCCTGAATTCAAAACACAGAGTAATCAAGACATTGATCTGTATGTCTAGACAGGTATAAGGCTAGACATACAGATCGGTGGAACAGAAGTGAGAATCCAAAAATGCACACATTTACTGTCAACTGCTTTTGACAAGGGTGCCGAAACAGTTGGGTGAGGAAGAAGACTAATCTTTTTTAACAAATGATTCTGGGACAATTACTGGATATCCATGTATAAAATAATGAAATTGGACCTCTACCTCACACCATGTACAAAAATTAACTCAAAATGGGTCAAACACCTAAATGTAAGAGCTCGAATTTTAAAAAAGACCTGGGATGAATTTTCATGACCTTGAATTTGGCAATAGCTTCTAAGAGGATGATATTTTAAAAAACACAAGCAACAAAAGAAAAAAAAATAGGTAATTTGGATGTCAACAAAATTAACGTTTGTGCTTCAGAGGACATTATCAAAAAAGAGAAAATATTTGTAAATCATATATTTAGTAAGGAATTTGAATCTAGAATAGATGAAGAACAGCTTAAGAATAAAAGGAAATAATGTAAGTAAAAGATAGGCAAAAATTATGGATAGACATTTCTCCGAAGAAGATATGTAAATGTCCAATGAGCACAGTAAAGGTGATCAGCATTATTCGTCATCAGGGAGATGAAAAATCAAATCCATAGTGCGATACTATTTTACATGAGTGGTATGGACATAATTAAAAAACGGATAAGTGTTGGGAAGGATGTGGAGAAATTGAAACCCACATACATGGCTGGTGTGAGGTATTAGGTCTAGTAATAATTAATGTCGTTTTCTAATACCTTTTTTTTAAATCGAATTTATTTAAACAATACAACAAAATTTAATCAACAATATAGTTGCCGTTGTTTTCTACTACATGTTCCCAATGCTCAGGAAGCATTTTAATCCCTCTGTTGTAAAATTCTTGTGATTTTGATGCAAAAAATTCGGTCAATGCATTTTTGAGGCATTCTTCATTATTAAATTTTTTTCCAAGAAGGAAGTTTTGCAAAGAACGAAACAAATGGTAATCGGAAGGGGCAATATCAGGAGAATATGCAGGTTGAGGGAGAACTTCCCATTCCAACTGGCGCAGTTTTTCAGCAGTGATTCTTGCAGTATGCGGTCGTACGTTATCATGGTGAAGAATTACGCCCTTCCGATTAATCAGCGCAGGTTCTTTTTCTCTTAAAGCTTGGGCTAACCTTTCCAATTGGGCACTATACACTGCACTTGTAATGGTTTGGTTAGATGGTAAAAGTTCATAATGAAGAATTCCTTTAAAATTCCACCAAACACACATCACTTTTTTCGCATGCAAGTCAGGTTTTGGCCTGGGCTGCAGAGCCTCATTTTTGTCCAACCATTGAGGCTGCCTTTTCAAATTAACATCCAGCACCCATTTTTCATCTCCGGTAACAATTTGCTCTAAAAACGGCAAACGGTTTTGACGAGAGAGGAGCGAACTGCAAATTGTGACTCTTTGATTACGGTTGTTGTCGGTCAACTCATGAGGAACCCATTTTCCAAACTTTTGGACTTTGCCAAGTGCACGCAATTGATTGGAAATTGTTTTTTGTGAACAATTTAAAGTTGTCGCAAGCTCTTGTTGGGTAATTTGAGGATTTTGCACCAAAAGAGCTTGAAGAGCTTCTTGATCAAAATTGGACACACAGCCTCGACCACTCTTGTCATCTAACGAAAAATTTCCCTCGCGAAATTTCTCAAACCAACGCTGGCGTTTTCTGGCGCTAACTGCATCTTGACCAAGAGCACTACAGATGTTTTTTGCAGCCTCACTTGATTTTCTTCCTAATTGGAACTCGTAAAGCATGCAGTGCCAAATATGCTCTTCATCCGCCATCTTCTTAGCCCTAGTTTTGCAACAAAAACCAAACCAAACACAAACCTTTTCAAGCAAAACTTGTTAATTGCACTTCACATGTTCTGTAGATACCACGTGTTTGAAGGTTATGTCAATACAAGTCAACGCCAAGCAAGATTTTAAACGAATGTTAAAAACGACATTAATTATTACTAGATCCGATAAAATGATTGTACTTACTATGGAAAACAGTCTAGCAGTTTCTCAAAAAGCCAAACACAAACTTGCAATCCAAGCAGTTCTACTTCTAGCTATGCATGCAAGAGAAATGAAAACTTCATGTCCCCACAAAAATTTGTCCATGAATATTCATAGCAGCATTATTCACAATAGCCAAAAGGTGGAAACAACCCCAATGCCCATCAATTGATGAATGGATTTTTTTAAATGTCATGTATCCATACAATGGAATATTATTAAACATAAAAAAGGAATGAAGCTAATACACATTACAATATGGATGAGCTTTGAAAACATGCTGATGGTAACTAGGTAGGAAAGAACATATTGCATGATTCTATGTATGTAAAATATCTGGAATAGGCAAATCCACAGAGGAAAGCAGTTTCGTGGTTGCCTACCTGAGGAAATAGTAGGGAAATAGGGAATTGATACCAAATAACAGGAGATTCAGGTCAGAGGACAAGACTCTTCAAGGAAGTAGAGGTGACTTGAAATGAGAGTTCTGAGTTAGCTGATTTGGGTGGGAGGTCAGTTTGGTTTTAGGAAACTTAGATGGACACAGGCATTGGATGTCCGACAATGGGATTATAAGATAGTGAATTGAGAGCAGGCCAGTGTCACTTGATTTTAGAGAAACATGCACCTCAGAGGGATGGAAAATTGCCAATTCCTCATGGAGAGACTGAAACAAAAACAGCTGGGGAAAGCATTCTTCATCTTTGAGTGTCCAGCCCAGCCCGTAGCTAGGGTGTAGGCGTTCGGTCTGTGAGAACAGTGATGAGTGGGAAGGGCCTCTCAGGCCACAGAGGCTCATTCCGACTCCAGGATCGTTTAGGGAAAAGATAGATCTCTGGCGTGTTTTTCTAGAGACATACCATGTAAGAGTCACAAAGGACCAGAGAAATCCCACACACTGGCAGGCACAAGTTGCTAATTTGTCTTCAGAATTGTATATGATTGTTCCCTTCCGCACCACCTCTAATAATAACAAGAGGGATGGCAAAGGATGGTTTGCTTGGTGCTAAACACCAAGAAAACCAAGTACCCTCACGAACTAACTTGTATCCTCTCCACTGCAACTTCAACCCAGTCAGGGGACCGTTACCCCGCTTTCCAGACTGAGTGGAGACATGAAGCAATTTGCTGGGTCGCAGCTAGAAAGGGGGAGGGGAGCTGGACTCAAACCTGAGCACCAGCTCCAGAGCCCCCTCCCCCCTCCCCCCTCCCCCCTCCCCAGGGCCTTCCCCTCCATCTGGCCTTGCTGGCCTCCTGGCCACTGGGCTGCTTCTAATTTAGACCAACTTTTACAAGAGGGAATGCATAGTTTAACCCTTTATGTTTGCACCCTGCTTCATCCACCCCCACAGAAAACAGCGGTACTGTTTATTCTCTCCAAATAGGGGAAAAAAAAAAAAAAACAGGGTGGAGGGGGTGTTGGTGGGGTGGGGATAGGGTTGGGGGGAAACAAAAGAAAAAGATAAACAAAAAGAAAACCTCTTTTTCTTTCCCTTCTCAGTGCATAGAATTTCCCACTTTTTCCAGAGGAAACAATGATCTGGTTGGAAAGCCTGTGGCCTGGTCCAGCTGCCCCTGAGGTGGGAGCCCCGGGCTCCCCAGGGGTCCAGGAGGGGTGCTCAGCGCAGCGACCACTAGCCCACCCCTTCAGTGTGGGCTGGCTCTCTCCTGCCCTGCCTCCCCTTTGGGGCTCCATCTGGCGAGTCGAGGAGACTTTGGGCAGAAGGCCCCGCACTGAAGCGGAGCAGGCTGGTTTTCCTTTAAGGAAAACCGCTCTTCCCTTCTTGATTAAATGAGAAAATGAGTTCCAGATCCCCTGTCAGAGTCAAGCTGTTTAAGAGGGTGAGGGTGAAGTAGAAAATGTCTGAAGAAGGCACCACTATTCTTTGCTTTCTATAATAGGAGACAAGCTAACACGCCATGGGGAGTGAATAGCCATGTGGGTGTAGAGATGCGCTTTTAGAATAATGCTCCTGAAAACCAAATTTAGTCAACGGGCCCTGTGCACAGGAGGGCTTTAACACTCAGCTTAAGGCTCTGCTGTTGTCTTCTGGAAGCGCTTTCTAATTTTGAGCAAAGGGCTCCACATTTTCATTAGTCATATGGCCAGTCTTGTCTGTGACGTATATTTTATTTTAAATCAGTTTTATGTAATTGGGGGCGTTTTTCCTGAATTTCAGTTAGGCCGCTGTATCCTGTCCAAGGCTGCACGTCAACTTTTGTGCTGCTTTTTTTCCCTCTTTATATGCCTCGGAGAGGTGTAAGCTCTTATATACTCACTGATCTTCACTGGGATGTGCCAGGGTGAAAATGTGATGCTGGAAAGCACTGAACAAGAAGGCCAAGCATAAGTATTTATAAATTAAAACATTTCAAAGCACACATTCCCCTTTGGCTGGGTAGGCCAGGCATCTTGTAAAGAATCTTCTCCTAAAATGGAGAAATAATCCTGGGAGAGAATTGGGTTCTTGTCTTACACGGGGCCTCCGGTGAGGACATGACCCTGTCGTTGTTAGCTGAAACACAGGCTGGGCCTGACTCAGGAACTTGGTCTACACTATTAGGTTAACCCAGCGACCACAGCCCCAGTGCTGGGCTTCTGTTCCGTCTGCAAAGAGGTCCAGAGGGAAAAATGAGGGGCGTCCAAAAATGTCTGCATGATTTGGGGGCTAGGCTTATGCTGGCAAGCTTAAGTTCATCAGGTTTAAAAAAATGCTGGAGTCATTTGTTGGTCCTCTTCTCTTGGCAAAGTTGCTGTTACTCTGGCCAGTGTCATTGAGGCAAACCAAGGAGAAATCTTTGGCCTCTCTCTCTCTCTCTCTCTCTCTCTCTCTCTCTCTCTCTCTCTCTCTCTCTTTCAGGCCAGAATATGGGAATTGGTACCATGAGGATATTCTACTACAGGAACACACTGTGGAGTTTCTTTTAAAGTAGATGATGGAACTTCACCAGAAAGCAAGGGTGTCCCAATAGGGACTCAGCCAAGGCCTCCCAGTTCACAGCAGGAAACTGGGAGAGTCCTAGTGTAGGCAGTGGGGCCAGGACCCAGTGGTGGCCAGACATCCTGAAGGACTGGGAACAAGTCCAATCTGTGGGGCAGGCGACAGCAGCAAGCACTTGGGGTCCAGCCTAGGTGGGAATGCCACAGTCTGTCTACGATGCCAAGATGCTGGTTTCTGGGGAAGTGAGGGAGCTGTTAGGAAAAAGACAAGACATGGCGTGTACTAAGCTGGCTGTCAAGACAGGGAATCAGACATAGAAATCCAAGGCAGAAGCCCAAGTTAGCATGACTTAGAGAGGGCCCCAGTGGTAGCAGAGATGGCCTGATGTAGAACCTGGGAGGTTTGGGTCAGGCTCCTGAAATCTTTCAAATCTAAGTCCAGAATTAATTCTAGGGATTGAGACAAAGATAAAAAAAAAAAAAAAAACTTTAAGTGAGGAGGAAGATGAAATAGTCACTGGGAACTGGGGAGGCCTGCCTGGGAGAGTCACTTTTCACGTGTGTTGGATTTTCTTTATTTTCTTCATGGATAGAAGCATTGTTTGTGTTCTTGTTTTATTTTATTTATTAAATATATTTTATTGATTTCATAGATGGAGAGAGAGATAGAAACATCAATGATAAGAGAGAATCATTGATCAGCTGCCTCCTACACGCCCCACACTGGGGATGACTGAGCCTGCAACCCAGGCATGTGCCCTGACTGGGAATTGAACCCTGACCTCCTGGTTCATAAGTCAATGCTCAACGACTGAGCTATATCAGCCGGGCTGTGTTCTAATTTTTACTGGAGGAATCAGAAGTAAATGGAAGTGCTCATGGTTAATGGATTTATCCTATATGGGTGTTTGGGGCCTTTCCAACACTATCATCTCTGTGCCCTGGGCTGAGGCTGGATAACTTTATGAAGTTCCATTGGTTATGGCTGTCACAAAATGATGGAAAGCCTGGTCTCTGGAGCCAGACTTCCTGGCTTTTTATCCCAGCCCCATCCATCTCTTCTGGCTGTGTGGCATTGGAGTGGGTTACCTCCTCCCAGTGTAGTCATGAGGATTTAAGGAGATGGGAAGTAAAGGGTTTAGAACAGTGCCTGGCATTTAGTGCTCGATAAGCGTTACTATAAGTTGCATGTAGAAATAAAATTATTTAGGGAAGATTTCAGATGTTAACAGTCATCACTATCTAGTGGATGGATGGGCCCATGGCAGGGTTAATCCTAAAAAGTGAATACTGCAAAAATCATTCCTCTTTATTTTGTAGAAGCAAGATTTTTCTCATGAATTTTGATTTATAGTGAATTTTAATGAGAGATTGCTCAATTTATGAGCAGAAATTCAGGGTGTGAGTCCTTATTGTCCCACTTCCTGGCTTTGTGAGCTCAGGCAATTTTTCAAATAGCTCTCACTTTCCTTATCTGGGAAAATTACCAATAATGGGGATGACAGCCCCGCTCAGAATTACCCCAAGAATCGCATGAGCTGATAGGCCATCTATAATAATCTATAATAATAAAAGGGTAATATTGCTAATTAGACCGGATATCTTCCGGACATCATTCTGGATGTAACTTCCTGACAAAGCCGGGCTGGAGAGAAGCCATCCAGGTCTCGGGTGCCTGCAGGCAGCCCAAGAGAACCAGCCCGGGTCCCGGCTGGGTGCCTGCGGGTGGCCGGAGGAGGGAAGCAGCCCGGGTCCCAGAAGCTGGAGGAAAGCCGGTGCTGGCAGCCAGGGGAAAGAAGGCCTGCTCTTGGCATGCATTTTCTTGCTTCAGGACTCTAGTTAAACAAAAGCATGCCATGTATTGGATATTTTTAAAAAATATATCTTTATTGATTTCGGAGAGGAAGGGAGATGGAAAGGGAGACAGAAACATCAATGATGAGAGAGAGAATCATTGACCGGCTGCCTCCCACTCGTCCCCTGCTGGGGATCAAGCCCACAACCCAGGTATGTGCCCTTGACCAGAATTGAACCTGGGACCCTTCAATCCGCAAGCAGACACTTGCCAAGGCATGTAGTGGATATTTTTACTCCCTGGACACAAACCTACTATAAATGAGAAAAGGTTAGTTGTCTGTAAAGTAGGTAAAAGGAAGTCATTCTGGATTTAAAAATCGCCATACAAAGAATGCAGCCTAGCTTTGGATATTACTAATTTAGCAGGTTGCCAGGTGCATCACAAACACAGACAAGAATGCAGTTAGTTCCAACAACTCTTGGAGCTCCCTCCTGTGCCGTTCTTGTAACAACAGCCAGATTGTGCTTTTATTTCCTCTCTGCTGACACAGAGCACCCAGCCCCCGTGCCGGTGAATCCTTGCTACGATGGGAGCCACATGTGTGGCCCGACAGCTCAGTGCTCCCCGGGGACAGGCGTGGACTACACCTGCAAGTGTGCGCCTGGGTACCAGGCGGATGGACGGAGCTGCACGGGTAAGAGCCATAGTCTGTGTTCTCGCGAGGAGTTGTCAGGCACTATGTGTATAAGAGACAGTGTCTATTTCTTAATGATCTCCGTTGATCCATGAGGTGAGCAGCTATTAATCTAAAGGCGGGGATGTAAAAACTAAGGTGTGTGCTGGATAGTTTGAGAGGACAGTTCGGAGGTGGGTATTTGGGGTCGGGACTGTGAAAAGAAGACCTCTATTACAATTCCTGGATATTTTGAGTTTTTAAGCTTTGTAATTTTAAACCTGTATTAAATGTTTCTTACACATATTAGGCAGAACATTTTCTGTTGATTGTTTTTTGTTTGTTTGGTTGGTTGGTTTTGTTTTGTTTTTTAGGTTCAGACATTGTGTTTTTTCACCTCTTATGTCCCCAAAAGTAGCAGTAGAAATCTCTTTACATTTTAAAACAAAAATTGTTGCAGTGTTGTTGTTTTTCTAAATGTTCAGTATTTTTTAAAACGTTCAAAACCTTTTCAGAATATTTGTTCAAAATTCATCTCCCTGTGGCTTATGCTTGAATGACTTGAAATGTTATTTGTGATCTGCAACACGCAGCCATATCTGGTGCTTAAAACCCTGCGTTTCAACTCCTGTTTAGTCCACCAACTGTGAGTCCCATGGAAGCCTCGTTGTGGTGAGAAAATATTGAGTCTCCAGACTTTCTACCTATGGGATCCTTGATCTGAGGAGCACTCTTCTGTTCTGATTTCTTCCTAGATGTGGATGAATGTGCAACTGACTTCCATCGCTGTGGCCCCAACTCCATGTGTATCAATTTGCCAGGAAGCTACCGGTGTGAGTGCCGGAGCGGCTACAGGTTTGCAGAGGACCAGTACACTTGCATCTGTGAGTCCCAAAGTCATTCCTCTTTTTGGCCAAAATGATGCTGAACCTGGCTCTTCCATTCATTAACATTTCCACTTCTGCCGTATGGTTTTTCTAGAAAACATACAATTTACATTAAAATAACCCTAAGCTATGGCTCAGTTCTGTTCTGGGATGTTTGTTTTAGTTGCTTTGTTGTTGTTTTTCTCTAAATAGACATTTTTGGTGTTGAGATATTGAAGGATATTCACTTCAGTTGGGATTCCCGTGTGTCTGTTATTTGGTCCAATCATGTAACAAGACTATGAGCTTCTTTAATAAATAATAACAGCTCTAGGTAGAGGCCAAATATGTCCCAAATTACAGTACAATAGATTTGTAATTCAAAGATGCTTTTCCCGCCGAAACCGGTTTGGCTCAAGTGGTAGAGCGTCGGTCTGTGGACAGAAAAGTCCCGGGTTCGATTCCGGTCAAGGGCATGTACCTTGGTTGCGGGCACATATCCAGTAGGGGGTGTGCAAGAGGCAACTGGTCGATGTTTCTCTCTCATCGACGTTTCTGGCTCTCTATCTCTCTTCCTTCCTCTCTGTAAAAAAATCAATAAAATATATATATATATTTTTTTAAAAGATGCTTTTCCCATTTGACTAGCCATAGCATTCCACATTTATATACGTAAAAGCCTAAGCGACTGGCTGGCTGGTAGCTATGATGAGCACTGACCACCAGAGGGCACACGGTCAACCCAGGAGCTGCCCCCTGGTGGTCAGTGCGCTCCCACAGCCAAACTCCCACGGCTGGCCAAGCTCCTTCAGTTCCTCCTCTTAGCCAGCCTGCCTCAATCGGCCCCTTGGCCCTGATCACTGGCAAGGCCAAGGGACTCCACCTATGTGTGAATTCATGCACAGGGCCTCTAGTCTATAATAAGATACATTTTCTAGGTATCTTATTACATTATCCCAAAAAAAGTAGATCCAAAAGAACTAGAATTTCAAATTCATCCCATTGTTAGATGATATGAAAGAAAAAAACACTTTTAAATCCACTGTTTTGATGATCCTCATGCCTAGTGCTCTCACCACAAATCCAGACCACCACTTCTCGAAGTTTAATATGCCTACAAACCATCTAGTGATCTTGTTAAAATTCAGATTCCCTGGCTCTGGGATGGGGCCTGAGAACCTGCATTCCTTATTAGTCTTCAGAAGTCCCAATGCTGTCCCTGTGCCAGATATCACCATGAAGAGCAAAGCTCACCCATTTGTGGGCCTGAACTCTTGGACATCCTCGCCTTCTTCTCTTTTCAGTGATTGCCCTCCCTCCCAACCCCTGTGAGGATGGCAGCCATACCTGTGCTCCCTCTGGCCAGGCCCGGTGTGTTCACCTTGGAGGCAGCGCCTTCCGCTGCGTCTGCCTGCCTGGTTACACCGGCAACGGGTACCAGTGCACTGGTGAGTACCTGTGGGTCAGCCTCAGTGACGTCTCAATTTCATGCTGTCTGTCCATCAGTAACACCCAGATTATGGTAAAAGCAGACCCTGGGAAGGAGAGGATGGTGGGAAGAGGGTTTGCAATGGGAAAAAGTCTCTCTTGGGAACGTAAACCTGAGAGGCAGGCTTTCCCCCTCTCCTCGAATTGTGCTTGCATCTGCCACGGTACCCCTGGGCCCGCTGAGCTGGGGAGCTAAGAACTGCCTTGTAACGCCTGGCAGCTCCACAAAGATCTAAGTAGCCCGGGCCTCTCCCTCCTCACCAGAGGTTTGATTCTCATCCTTCTCCCTTTCCTTTCGCTTTGGTTTCAGCAGGACAGGCGGACTGGACCAGCAGACACAACCATGTGTTAGTAACAGACCATGTGTGCCAAGGCAGCTCAGCCCTCCTCTCCTTTCCAGATGCGGGGGGCTACTTAGTCTCTTCTGACTCTTGCTGCTTAATCAATTAGCGTTTCCTCTTCTGTACAGAAGCTCTGTTTATGGATTTCTTAAAAAGATAATTTACGTTGAAATGACTTAAAGCTAGGTCTCAGTTCAGGCCTGATATCCCCAACCCCCTGCAAAAACAACAGAAACCACCCCCAGATTTAGACAGAACTCACGTGTTTCTCAAGTTAGAATGAGGTGCATTTGTAATTCACCGATGTTTGTCCCACTTGAGCAGCCAAAGAGCTCTGTCTAGAACAAACAGGCTCTTTATAGATGGGGTACCCTCTCCAGGTCTGGGGGGTCAGGGTGAGGAGCACAGGCTCCCTTGTTTATGTCACAGTGGGAATAATACTTTGTCCACCCTTGTGGAACTTATCGCTCAGTTTAATTTAACACACTACTGGTTTGAGAAATGAGAATGCAGAGAGAAAAAAACATCTTGCCAGAATTTCATATTCAAATACCTGGCTGCTCAGGTCAACTGAGAGGGTGCTTATAAAGTATTTAATTTCTTGGGTCTTTGGTTTAAAGCAAAGCAGTTGAAATTAATTGCAGCCTAGCTGTGACGAATGTTAATCATCAAAATGTTAATTGAGGTTAGACGTGCCTTGGCCCTAATCCCTTCTACAGTCATTCTCTCCCCCTTTTAACTTCTAGCCTGTCCTGTAACACTTTGCTTGCCTCTCTTGTTCTCTGCGTTTAGAATCCTTTCTGGGACCCACCAATTTAAAAACATGCCAGACACATCAGTTGCTTCTCCAGTGTGTTAATTATCTATTGCTGTATAACAGATCACCCCAAAATGGGGCAGCTTAGAACAACACACATTTATTACCTTCAGGTCAGGGTCCTGCCTTAGGTGGGTCCTCTGCTTTAGGACCCTCACAGGGCTACAGTCAAAGGTTCTGGCAGGCTTGGGGTCTCCTCTGAAGGACCAACTGGGGAAAGAGCCCCACATGGTTATTGCAGGATTCAGTTCCATGAGGGACTGAGTGATGGACTGAGAGCCTCAGGTCCTTGCTGGCTGTGGTCTGGAGGTGACCATCAGTTTTTTGCCACATGGCCCTCTCCAACAAGGAAGCTGTCTTCGTCAAAGCCAGGCGCAGAGACGGAAGTTATAATCACAAAATGCTTTTGTGTATTAGAAGCGAGGAAGCAAGTTACTCAAGTGAAGGGGATCATACAAGACTGTGAATACCAGGAGGAAAGAGAGATCTTTGGGGCCATCTGAGAAGCTGCCTCCTGTAGTCAGTTACCACGTGGTTGCTTTTCAAGCTTTCAGACTGTGGTAGTAGAGAATAAATAGTCATTTTCCTAAATACCCATGCCATATGTAAGTCAGGCTGGGCTAATCACAGAGGTGACTTACAGAACAAAGTGTGTGTGTGTGTGTGTGTGTGTGTGTGTGTGTGTGTATGCGCACGTGCACATATTTTAAGGCATGTATCCCAGTGGCCATGAAATAAATAGAAAAAATATAGGAGAATAGAGATAAGGGCTCAGTTTTGTGGAGAGCATGCATTCTTTTTTTTTTTTAAATACATTTTATTGATTTTTTTTTGCCCCCCCTCCCTGAGAGTATGCATTCTTAAAGCCACTTTCTTATTCCACCAAACTAGCAATAAAAGGGTATGTGGTTATTTTTTCCAGGTAGTTTGTTAACATCCTGGTTCCCTGGAGAGGCTGCACTTGGCTTTAGGTTCTCAGTCTAGTCTGAATCACTAGCAGGAACCACTTTATCCAAGTTGAGTTAAATCGTTCCTCAGCCCTGTGTTGGATCAGCCCTGTGTTGGATCAGCCCTGTGGTGGATCAGCCCTGTGGTGGATCAGCCCTGTGGTGGATCAGCCCTGTGGTGGATCAGCCCTGTGGTGGATCAGCCCTGTGGTGGATCAGCCCTGTGGTGGATCAGCCCTGTGTTGGTAGGAGCTGATGTTCCTCAGGCACATTTGTCCTTTTGGAGCCGTGGCCATTTTGCCAGGTGCAAAAACATTGTCTCGAGTTGGACCTCAAGTGTGAGGGAGGAGCAAGTGTGAGCTGAGGAGAAGGGATCCAGATGGCCCAGGGCCAGGCTGCTCAGCAGGGCCAGGAGAGGAGGTGCTCACATTATTGTCACAGGTTTTCTGCTCGAAGGATATGATATTGAGTAAGGTGAGGTAACGGTGCAGCCACAGGAGAAGAGAACAAGACTTAGAGGAGGCCAGAGAAGAGTTCACCGTGTGCCAGGCAGAGCCACGGCCAGAAGGATGCTTGACCAAATGGGTGGGCAGTGAGAACATGTGGGCCCTTCCTGGGGGTCTGGAGTGAGATTCGGGTTAATTGGCACCAGGAAGTTGCACTTTGGGTTCGAAAGCAAAGCAGACAGAGGAGTGAGGGAAGGAGGGAGCTAGAATCCATTGGTTGGGTTTGTTTTGAAGGGACTTCAGCTGGTTTGGGGTGTGGGCTTAGACCTAGGGCAGTGAGAAGAATGTGGAAGCACCAAAGCATGAAGTCAAAATGGAGGATTTTCAACACATTTTCCAAACTGTTTTTTGCCAGCTTAATCGATGCTGGAAAGGAGAAGTTTGCTTAGACTGTGCCTCCCTGTGCTATCTGAGTGGTGAAGGAGCTCTCCTACGCCTTGCACACTGCTGTCCTGACCTCAGTGTTCTCACAGCCCCCAGAGACCCTGACAGTGATTGCTGGCATAAACCACCCCCAGGGGTACAAGGAAAGCCCCTCCCTTGGCAAGGGGCCGGAAGTCTTTTCATACTTTCTCTCCTGACACCCTGGAAATAGGGGAGAGTTCTTCTCCTTACAAAAGCTCCAGTTACCCCTGAACCCCACAGTGTTGGCCCTCCTGAGGGGGCCCCAGCTTGCTCTGAGCTCAGAATGTGGAGTGGCTGATTGGACTTGGTGTAAGCTCCTCCAAGGAGGTGGCAGGGACTGTGCTCCAGGAAGCCTTAACCTTCTCCAGATTTTTTTTTTTTGGGGGGGGGGAGAGGGGGGTAGAGGGGAGAGGGAGAAAAAGGGTTTCTCACTTGTGATGCTTTTAGTCTCTTGAGGGCTTGAGGGACTTTTCCCTGTTGGGCATTTATAGCAGTTCCTGTCTCTTCAAGACTTCAGTGTCTGTGGGGAGGATGGCTGCTCTTTTAGGTCTGATCAGAATTCTAGACCATAGGCTTAAAGGACATAGGTAACTTGGTAGCTCCGGGGAGTCCCCTCTGAGTTCAAAAATAATCAACTGATCCATGAGTTCTAGAAATAGGCAGTGTCTCAGGAATTATTGCTTCCTGTCATTGCCTGGGTTCCAGTTAACAGGAGTACTTTTAGCATATGTATTCTGAATAGCTTTCATTTCCTGCCTTTGGCTGGATGTTGATTTTTACAGCTTTGGTTTCATAGCCTCTTCCAGGCCCAAGGAAGGGGATGGTCACCAGCTTTGCCCAACTGGGGACTTGACTTGTGCTTTGGAAGAGATAATCCCAAGGATACCTAAATTTGACAACGGACAGCTCCTATTCATTACATTGGAGATAAGGTTTCCTTGCAATTGTTTCGTTTGGTTTGTTTGTGTTAACTGAGGAGCTAACCAGAAAACCTTGTTTCTAACTTTTCAGATGAAGTCATAACTACATGTTTGCCTTCGCAGGTGAAAGGAAGTTTAGCATGGAGGCCGATTGCTATCTGAGCAGAGCCTTTCTGGGTGGCATTAAACTTGGCTGTGTTGAGCGTTTAGGACTTTTTTGGACTTAAGGGAGCTAATTTATGTCAACTAACCTCTCCTGAGACTGAGGAATGCTAACTTTCTAATTATAATGTAAGAGATTCCTCTCCTGTGCAAAGAAGGTCTGTGTTGCACGACCAGTGTGTCTGCTTGCTGGTACCAGGACAGGAGTGGCTCCATGAGGATGTGGTCACAGAGAGGATGGCGCTGATAACCCTGGAAGAGATTCCATCTGGGCCCCGGGAGGCTGGGTGAGGAGCCACGTCTGTCCTCAGCCAACTCACATCCAATTCAGGCTGTAAGTCTCTGGCTTCCCGGTCCCACGAGTCCCCACCCTGGGTTGTACCAAGTGGTTGCAGTTCGCTTCTTCTGGAATTCCTGTTTTCTAGGTGCCACACTGATCATCCCATCCACATGTTTCCTGTTTACTCATTTTGAAATCAGTTTTTGGATGTCATTGTGGATGTGACTGTTTTCACAGAGCCTTGATCAGACCTACACCCTTAGTCTCCTCTTAACTCTCAAAGACTTCCTGTCTGTGAAGACAGCTTATCTCAACCCCTGGGCATTGGTTTTAACAGACTCTCAGAGATGGTTTTCTTTTTTGCTATTGTCTGATTTCAGTAAATAAAATAGGAGGGCTAGAAGTTGGCTTTTGTTTGAAGTTTCAGGTTGTTATAGGTTTGAGAAATAGGAAAATTCTCATGGTGCTATGTTGTAGAGTATGTGTGTGTCTGTGTGGAGGGCAGGTGGATCTGAATTGTAATGTATTATATCAAAACCTGATAATATTTTTCTTATACTTTTCTATTTCTTCTGAAAGTAGAAAACAAAGAAAATTTTCTGATAAATTGGGCATTCTAGATAGGAGGATTCTGACTGGGCAAGACTGTATGGGCTTCTAACTTTGTTGAAACCTCATTGGACTTCTCTGCATCCATGTCTTAGGGACATGGTACCAGCAACAAAAGGGAAAAACAATTGTTACATCTTTTGATGGTAGTGTTACTGAGAGAAATTAATGATTTATAGTCTAAAGGTTAGTTCACAGGTAATAACTTCTTGGACTTCACTATAGATGGAACTGCTATATAAATATACTGCAGGGTCTTTTCTGAGTGACCACATGTTTAATTTCTACACTGAACTAACTCACACAGCCTTTGACTAACTGACACAGCCTTGACCTTGTCCTGTTAGGCATGCCTTTCAGTGTCAGTATATTTCTGCTCATGCCCAAAGGTCTTCTGAAGTTGACCCCTCATCATTGATCCTCCTGTACTAAAGGCCAGGTAGTAGCACTGATTGAGTGCAGTGAAGTCACATGCCCTCCCTCCTGCCCCCCACCCCTGTTCTGACACTGCAGATGTGGATGAGTGCTTGGAGAACAGATGTCACCCTTCAGCTACCTGCTACAACACCCCTGGCTCCTTCTCCTGCCGCTGCCAGCCTGGCTATCTCGGGGACGGACTTCAGTGCACACCTGGTAAGGGGGAGGCCAGATTAGGCCAGAGAACTGGCTCCATCAGCACTATTTTCTATAGCACTTCAGCCCACTCTTGATTTCTCCAAGTCAGAGGCTGTAGTTAGCGGATCTTCAGGCTCTGGATATTTCCCACAGTTACCACCAGAACTCCTTTGCTGTTCAGAGCTATTCGCATTCCGGGAGGCCCGGGGTGTGGCCCATCCATCGTCCTACCTATGAGCAGTTCTGGTTAACTGCCCTAATGACCTGCTTTGCCTAGATAAGTGCCAGTTAGAAGTATTGAGACTCAGGTTACTAAACAGGAGTCCTGTGCTCTGGTGAGCTGGGCGCAGCCTCCCATAGGAATGCTCTTTAACTTGGCCCCAGGGGCAGTCTGGCGATAGCTGTGGAGCTGGGGCTCCTCAGACTTAAACTCTGGACTCAGGGGACAAGCCAAACTGCTTCCTCCTGAGTCTCTGGATGTTTGGACCAAAGCGTGGCTGCTCTTCATTTTATCCAGACAGCAGCAGGAGCTAGGACGGGAGGGGCCGCTTCCCAGTCAAGTCAGCCTGGGGACTTACAGGGAGGACTGCGAGAGTTAGGAAGCATTGGGTAGTTAGTGGCAGAGCTAAAATAAGAATCAAGGACTCCAAATTCCCAGCACGTTGCTAATTTTCCCACGGTATGCTGCCTTCCAACTATGGGAGGAAAGCCTCCGACAGGAGACCTTGAGGCTGGCTCAGAAAAGCGGGTGGGTGGCAATGCCTTTTATTCTTCCTTCTCCATCTCCTGTGTCTCCTCTGTCCCTGCCCTGAAGACAGCACCTCAGGACTGAAAACCTGTGAGCGGCAGCAGCGCGCCGCCCAGGCCCAGCACCTCTACCCGGGCGTCAGGATCCACATCCCCCAGTGCGATGAGCAGGGCCACTTCCGGCCACTGCAGTGCCATGGCAGCACCGGCTTCTGTTGGTGTGTGAACCCCGACGGTCATGAAATCCCTGGTACCCGGACTCCACCCGGCTCTAACCCACCTCACTGCGGACCCCCAGGTGAGCCAATCCCAAAAGAAATCCTGTGCCCGGTTAGGCCTGGGCCTTGGGAAGCAGAATGGCACTGGCTGTGGGTAGATTATAATCCCTGCCCAGACCACCCAGACTCAGGGCTGGTGACCGTCCTTTATGACACCATCCGCTTCTTCCTAGGAACACTCAAATGATATGCACTCAGCTACATGCACATTCACATTACAGGGACATTGAGACACGCACACATGATATATGTGAGCCCAGCATGCATTGTACTCCAGTCTCCTGACCCTTGTCTAATGCAAAGCTCACCTGCATGACGGGGTCAGCTTGAAGGGAGAGAACGGTTTCCACCCATGATTGAGATGGAGTGTGTAGGTCAGGCTGAGGCCTCTGCCCTAGATTTGTTAGAGCGGCTTAGAGATGTCAGAGCTAGAGGATCTTGCCAGAACAGCCTTTTGTCCCAAAGAAAAACTGCCTTCCCATATAACTATCGCTTAACTTTGCCTTCTGAGTTACAGGAAACTGTGTGAAGGCTGTTTTAATAGCATTAGGAAACATAAGTATGTCAGTTGTGGGTGGATCCAGCGAGCTTGCTCTGAGCTAATAACCCAGGCCCCTGTAGCCCCTCATGTCCATGGGAAAGCCACTTGGCCCAGCTTCCTTCAGAAGAGAAGCAGGAACCGGTTTTATTAGCCCCTGTGATCTGAGATGCTGATAAACATGTCAGGGTGGGGCGTGGTTATCAGGCGCTCACAGTATATGTCAGCTACAAGTTGCCTAGGCAGGTTTCTGCTCCTTGCAGAACTCTTCAGAGATGGGAAGAACTTTATTTTAAAAAAATAAAGAACTTGATTGTGAGGAAAGTAGAATTGGTATGATACCATTTCAGCCAAAGTAATTCCTCTATCAATGCACTTGCTATATTCAAAGATCCATTCTTAGTGTTGAAAGGTTTCCATAAATACTAGTCTTGGCTTTTAATGTATGTGAATATGAAGAACTAGAGAATTACTGCCTGCTTTGATCCTTTTGAAATATTAGTTATTATGACCAGGACATTAGTGATTCATAAACAGTAGATAAAGATAGGTATTGCTTCATCTAGCTTAGCGGTCCCCAACCTTTTGGACCTCACGGACCACCAGTGGTCCGCAGACCACCAGTTGGCAACCGCTGATCTAGCTGTTCCCACAGTGACACTCCTAGTTCCTATTTTTAGGAAAATATTTTGCAGCCTCCATCCTCCTGTCCTCCCTACCCCCTAAGAAAGAATACAGAGAGAGATCCTGTTAGTCTTGATTCTAACTCCAGCTGGGACTTGAAGGAATCAGATGGTTGGGAGGTTCCTTGGGTTCAGAGTTCTGTTGCATTTACTAAGTCAAGCATGTATTAAGGACAGTGATTCAAAAGGGAGCCGAGAGAGTGGGAAATTCATCGCTAAAAGAGAGGCACGTTCTTTTGGGCACTCTTTCCTGGCCCAGACCTCCCTCCTGGCTGCCATTTCTGACTGGTCTCATTTACATAATGGGGTCAGCTTGAAGGGGGAGAGAACAGTTTCCGCCCACAATTTCAAAATATTTAAAACCCTGCCAGCCAGAAACAGAAGGAAAATAAATCCATGGTCAGATTGAGAAGGAGCTTCAAATAGTAAGGCATGAGAGCGATGCCCACGTGTGAGGGAGGTGCGGTGCCATTTCCCAGAAGCTGACTGTGCTGTGTGTCCTCATTTCAAACAAAGACATTCCTCACTGGGTGGTCCCTGAACCAAGAATGGGTCCTCTGAGTTTGGAATGTGGACCAGCGGCGGTATTGGCAACTTCTCCAGGGATGGAGGGCAGACATTAGAGAAAGTGGCATGTCCCACTCTGGGTTCCTGGAGATACATCTGCGTGAGGAAATCAGTTTTTTCTTCTGTATGAGGCCTTAACAAGAGCTATGCTTCCCGTGGGTCATGAGCGATGGTGACTCTTGTAGCTGAGCCCGTTGGGTTTGAACCCTGAGGATTTCATTCCCCATCTTCCTGCTTGCCTAGAGATATTGTAGGTGTTGGAGCCCAACTAGAGTGTTTCCAGCTTGTTCTTTGAAGCCACTGGAGATTTTGATGAGAAGAATGGCATGAAATGACTTGGTTTTAAAGGGACTCTTTCTGGAGAGCTCCGGGCTGAGTTTACACTGACGGGCAAGAAGGAGGGGAGAAGCAGGGGAAACAGTTGTGGCAGGAGGTAATGGGGCGTGGACCAGGGTAATGGGGGTGGGGTGGTAAGATGAGAAGATATTCTGAATGTATTATGAAGGTACAGTTGGTATTTCTTGACATATGTGAGCAAGAGTAAGGAGTCCAGGATGGGTGGACCTGAGCAATGGAGAGGTGGAGGTGCAATTTACTCCTAAGGGAAAGTCCAGGGCCCAGATTTTGTTAGTTGTCTCTGAGATTTCTGTGATACATCCAAATGGAGGTGCCAAGTAGGCACCTGGCTGTCTCTTCTGCAATGACAGGCTGTGAGTGGCAGGAGATAAAAAAGGAGCAGCACTTTCTGATTCAGGTCCTTTAGGCCAGTGGCCGGCAAACTCATTGGTCAACAGAGCCAAATATCAACAGTACAACGATTGAAATTTCTTTTGAGAGCCAAATTTTTTAAACAATTTCTTCTAACACCGCTTCTTCAAAATAGACTCACCCAAGCCGTGGTATTTTGAGGAAGAGCCACACTCAAGGGGCCAAAGAGCCGAATGTGGCTTGCGAGCCAGTTTGCCAACCACGGCTTTAGGCAATCCTCCCACAGGTGGCTATGCTATAGGCTGCAGCAGAGCCCTCTGGGACAGAGAACTGGTGTTTGGGACAGGCCACGACGGCCTGTGGAAACAGTCTGGGGTATTGCAGGTAGAGAAACTGCTCTGCGAGAGAAGTTAACAGGGTAGGCATGGTGGTGAGCGGGGAGGGAGGATAGGTGGGGAGGGAGCTAGAGAAATACGGTGGGAAGGTGGAGCCTATGGAAGAAGCTTAGGCTTTGAGATAATACCCGGAACAGCATGGCCTGGTGACTTCCAGGAACTGGAGTGTCACTCCCTCTGCTGTGCTCCCATATACCAATTACGATAAGTTATGCTTTCACCAGTGTAGTCCTCCAGGGGACAGGTATGGAGAGCCACATAAGTGGACAGTCAGTAATGCTTTCTGAGACAAGCACTAGCCAGTCAGTCTGAAGATAACCTCTCAGATGCAGGTCCTAGAGTTTGAAGCCAGTGGGAAAACAGCAAACACTGCTTTAAGCGCCTTGCAGGCCACTGCACCCCTCAAGTGTTCTGTTAACAGAGGCCCTGGGCCTCTCCTGTCCAGAGTGAGATCGCCCCCTTCCCAGGCTGAGTGAACCCTGCACCTGATCTTAACCTCTTGTTCTTTCCTGACGTGGTGGGGCCTTGATGGCAGATCCTCCTGGCCTGGGAAGATGGGAGCACCAAGGGGACCCCCTTCTCCTGATTCCTGTGGAGAACTTCCTAGAACACTTGACTATTCTGGTCTGTGTTCAGAGGCTTGGCTGAGGCCCGCTAGTGCACATGAGGAGGAGGGAGGCCAGGCGGCCAGGCGTGGGGCTCTGGAGCTACAGGCTGCACTGTCCTTGGCTTACCATCAAAGGCTTTTTCTTTTTTTTTTTGGTCCCATCTGCTCAGCGCCCACCCAGCGGCCCCAGACCATGTGTGAGCGCTGGAGGGCAAACCTGCTGCAGCACTACGGTGGCGCACCCAGGGACGACCAGTACGTGCCGCAGTGCGACGACCTGGGCCACTTCACCCCCATGCAGTGCCACGGGAAGAGTGACTTCTGCTGGTGTGTGGACAGAGACGGCAGAGAGGTGCAGGGCACACGCTCCCAGCCAGGCTCCACCCCTGCATGTAAGCACCCCGGGGCAGCCCTCACTCACCCTGGCGGGCCTCCAGGGTGAGCTTTCTCTGTCGGGAGGCTGTGATGGAGGTGGGCAAACAAGGGGTCAACAGACCCAATGAGAGAAGTCACTAGTGCGTGGTGTTGATGTATAATCTGATCCACCCAAGATCCCAATCTGGACTTAACGTTTGGCTTTGTCATTAGCAGTTCCTGTAACTAGAACATCTGGAACTCAGCTCAGCACGCAGTGACTCCCCTTCCCCAGCCCAGGGTGAAAGGGGACGCGTGTCACCCGGGGGGCCCCGAAGAGAAGCTGACACAACTCTGGCTCTGGTTTCTTTCCCTTAAAAAGAAGAAAAAAACCAAACCTGCTTTGTTCTGAGGGGGCTGTGTTGTTTTCTTCCTTCCTAGTAATTGGCAGTGATTTACATAATTGATCCTTGAAAAAAAACCAAAAAACTAGAAATTAGAATTTCTTTTAAGAAACATCTGGAGCACATCTGTCTAGGTTTAAGAACTTTTGATGTTTTGGGAGGCTCTGGTCTAAGGTCTAAAGTAACTGTTCTCTCTCCCCACCCACTCCTGTTTCCTTTTCTCTCTGCTCACTGTTTTTCCCTCGGCAGGTATACCCACGGTTGCTCCACCCTTGGTGCGGCCCACGCCCCGGCCTGATGTGATTCCTCCGTCCGTGGGCACCTTCCTGCTCTATGCCCAAGGCCAGCAGATCGGCTACTTGCCTCTCAGTGGCACGAGGCTTCAGAAGGACGCGGCCAGGACCCTGCTGTCCCTGCATGTAAAGAGGATTTCTCGTGTGGGGCGGAGCTGCGTGGGGGTCTAGACCTGGGGAGGGGCCTGCGACGGAGGGAGGTTGTGGAGGGTTTCTGAGCTGCAGTCTGCTTCATGGGCCTGACACCAGCACCACGGGAGGTGGTCTCCCTGTTACTGGGTCATGTCTGACCAAGGCTGTTGCCTTGTTGGTTCATGGGGTTTCAGATGTGTGGAAAGGGCCTTTCAGGGTTGTCAGGCAGGATGGTGAGCCAAGGGAAAACAGACTTTTAACCCCAGGCCCCAGGGGGCTTTCAGTGTGCCCAACCCTCCCCCCCCACAACACACACACACACACACACACACATTTCCAGAGATCTAGAAATCAACACGACAGGAGTGGCTCAGGGGGTCAGATGAGAATCCCAAGTGGAAATCCACTAATGACTGCCTCAGCGATCCTGCCCTCTCCCCTCCCATTTTGGTTCTTTTCTCATCTTCTCTGGCTCCTTCTGGATGAGCTGGGGAGAGTGTGATGCTGGAAAAGGAGTGGACAGCTCTCCCTCGGGGATGCTTGCCGCTTCCTGAGCTAGCCACTCCCTGTTGTCAAGGCACTCCATTTCGGAGGGCTCTTCTCTCAAATGGAGAGGAGAAGGGAGGTCGCCAGAAAGGCGGTGCCACTTGTAGTGGAAAATGGCCTCAGTCTGTTCCTAAGCTTCACGCTCTAGGTACTTGCTTATGTATCATAGCACAGCATCTGTGTTTACTTCTGTTGATGAACCCATATCTGGTTCTGAAAAAGTTTAGAAGCAGCCCGTGTTTAGAAAAAAAAATATTTTCCCCCCAAGTTTTTGTGTTTTCTTGGCAAACACTAGCCTGCTCTTTTTTATAAAAGTTTCTCTAGAGGTAGAAACTCAGAAGTTATCGCAAGTAACCATCTCTTTATTCTAGCCATGTCACATGGCTTCTCTGCATTTCTGAATTCACCTCTGATGAGGATAGGGTGGTGGTGGAGCTGAAACAGAAATGGAACGTGGGTTATAAGCACACCTTGGGGAAATTGACTTAAACGGGGACTTTTTTTCTCCAAAATAACTTAGAAGTCATTACACAGGTTAATGAACCCATGATTCCCTGGATTAATGGAAGCCCATATGGATGTGTACTCTTGCCTGAGACATGACTTTTTAATTTTCAAATAAAATTGTATTTGACCTTCAGACCCTCCTACCCCATATAAACTGCTCTCTTTTCCACAGAAGCCAAATCCTGCTTGTATGGTGGTTCTCATACTGACTCCTCTGCCAGAGGCCATAAGTCACACCAGCCAAGCTTTGTTAGGCAAGCAGGAGCTGGCGTGGCCTCGGACAGCCAGATGGCCTCTAGATGTTGGCTTTGCACATCTGCTGGGCTTCTCAAAGCAGGAATCTGGGTTGGAAATCAAATGAAGCAAGTACTGTGCAGACTTTTGGAAAGGAGTATCACAGACACAGCATTTTATAAGAGACTTTGCAGTTGATTTAGCAATAAGGAAGCTGAAACCTCCCTAGCCAGAAGTTGAGTGACGACCATTCCCCAGTTCCTTAACCCATCAAACTGTAGACTTTCTGTTACATACGAGTACAACCAAGAATTGCTTTGCAGTGAGAGACAGAGTTGAGGGTGATGGCACCTGAGCTAGGGCAAAGAGCTCAGATTGGGGGGGGGGGGGGGGGAGAGCATGGGTTTTGTTGTTCTGTTAGCAAATTTTGGAAAGGCTTGTTCAAAAACTGCGGATAACATTTGAAAGGAGTCACTGTTTTTGTCCGTTAAAATATTAAGACCTTACTTTGCTGAGACTAACAGCTGTCCTTCAATCACTGAATGGGCTAATGTTTTTCATGCAGTCACTTTTGCTTTTACTGCCAACAGGAATAGTGATAATTGAGAGCTTACTGCATGCTCATTTCTGAATAGGCACTTCACCAAAGAACTTATGGTATTAATTTTTATAGCAGCCATATGAAAGTATAAGTACTCTTTCATTTTATCGATAGAAATGAGGAAACCAAGAACAGAAAGCTTAAGTACCAGAATCGCACAGCTAAGTAAGTGGCCAAGTGTGGCTTTGACTTCAAGAAGTTGGCCTGCAGAGCCTACATATCTAACCATGAGCTTGGCTGCCTGTAAGGTTACAGTGCAGGGTTGTTCACCGCAGGCATGCATGAGTGAGGTGGCTGAGCATGAACTCAGGGGAAATGCAAGAAGTCCTAATTTTCCCAATTCTGTGTTCTGGCCCACACAGGGCTCCATAATTGTGGGAATTGACTACGACTGCCGGGAGAGGATGGTGTACTGGACGGATGTCGCTGCGCGGACAATTAGCCGTGTTAGTCTGGAACCAGGAGCAGAGCCTGAGACAATCATTAATTCAGGTCAGCAGCTTCACCCAGAAGACACTCCCATTTCATTTGATTCTATTAAGTCCACATTATTTTTGCCTGTTTATGCCAGTCTCTCCTCTATTTTCACCCAACAGGGGAAACTAAATGCTATGCAAGTCACTTGTGAGCTGTACAACATCCTCTTTGTAAACAAACATGTTCATGCATAAGTAGTAAGGTGATTTTTACTGGGGGCCCTTTCTATTGAGGAGTAGGGCTCCCCGAGGAAAGGTTCGCAGTAAGAATTCAGCGTGAGGCCACACAGTGCTGCCTGGGACACCAGCTCTGTGGATACCTGGTGCGTTTAGGCTGCTAGGTCTGTTCGTCTAGCCCAGTGGTCGGCAAACTCATTAGTCAACAGAGCCAAATATCAACAGTACAACGATTGAAATTTCTTTTGAGAGCCAAATTTTTTAAACCTAAACTCTTCTAACACCACTTCAAAATAGACTTCCACAGGCCGCGTTTTTGGGTAAGAGCCACACTCAAGGGGCCAAAGAGCCGCATGTGGCTCACGAGCTGCGGTTTGCTGACCACTGGTCTAGACCAATGATTTTCAACTGGTGTGCTGCAGTTTTTAAAACATACAATGCCTGACTATTTAGTCAGGGGCACTGATGTCTCTAGATTGTCAAATGAAAAAAATGACAACAGTAGCCATCTGGATGATTCCTTTTTTTGGCGGTCAGTTCGGCAGAAGTCGTATTTTTGCTATGCCACAGAATTTCAGCAATTAGTTTGTGTGACCTGGTTCTTCCGACTTGAGGAACTCTCAAGATTTTGTTGTTGTTCAAAGATAAATCTGTTTCAGGTTCACCTGCTCCAGTCCTGCCTTTGTTTTATTTCCAGATCTGATAAGCCCCGAAGGCCTTGCCATTGACCACGTTCACAGAACGATGTACTGGACAGACAGCGGCCTGGATAGGATAGAGAGGGCCAATCTGGACGGCTCTGAGCGCAAGGCTCTCTTCCACACGGACCTGGTGAATCCCCGAGCCATCACTGTGGATCCTATCCGAGGGTCAGCTGGGCCTCCCTAATTCTCCGTTACCTGTAGATCCTGATTCTCCGTTACCTTTAAGTCCTTAGATTTAAATGAGGTGGGGAGTCAGTACAAAAGCAGAAAGAAAAGCCCAAATGCGTTAATTTTACAGTATTTATTGAGGAGCTACTACTCAGGAACTGTTCTACTTTTTATCAGATGATAAGGTAGGGCCTGAGGTCAATACTTAAACTAGAATGAAGTGAGTCTCCTTCAGCAACACACTAGGAAGTCATAGTGTTAAAACTACAGTAGGGTTAATGCCCATTAAATGGTAACCAAGACTCACACCTGGCATTTTATTTCACAGACCTCTTTCATTGTAGCAAAATCAAGAAGAAAATGTTCCCTGTCCATAACTGCTAACGTCATCGCCTGGGACACATAACTTGGTCAATGTTTCAGTACTTGTTAGAACCAGGGAGGATTTCTCTATCTTGAGAAACTTGCCATATTTAATGGGGCTTCTACCAAATGAAATTCCAGAGAAAACCCTCAAAAAGTGAAGAAAACATTCTGTTTTTGACTCAGAAATACTTAGTGAAAAGCCTCAAAGAAGGTTCTGAAGTTTGACTTCTACATACTCAGGGTGCTTCTTTTTCTACTCCATTTAATTTATCCACAGCAACTTGTACTGGACAGACTGGAATCGAGATGCTCCTAAAATTGAAATGTCATCTTTATATGGAGAAAACAGAAGAATTCTGGTGAATAATGACCTTGGACTACCCAATGGTTTAACCTTTGACCCCATGTCCAAACGGCTCTGCTGGGCAGATGCAGGTAATACTACAGATGGGATGCAGATACCGAATGCTTCATTACAGTGGTGCCAGCAGTTGATCAGATTTTATAGCAAAACAAAATCCCATCTTTTGGCTTAAATTTGTAACAGCACAGCACATATAATCTATTCCTTTGGTATGTAAACTTTCAAAGGACATTTTGTAATGACGCTTATAATGAACTTCCTAGGGTTTTAGGGTGTGTGAATGTGAATTCGGCAGTTAAGTTTCAGGGGTAGTACAATGTCCCTTCTTTTTGAATTGTGTACCATTTCCCCACGAGTACCTGGCATGCTTTTTAAGTTAAAAAGAAATACTACCTACTGTTAGAATTGACGGATTTAGATAAATGAACAAGAGGTTATAGGTGGTTTTTCCTTTGGCCAGTGTTATAAATTTCTAAGTATCTGTTTAGTGGTCAGTGTGCCGTTTTGCTGAGGACATTCCTGAAAAGTGATATGGCACTTCAGTAACAAGTTCAGGCTGCCAAGACCCAGGCTATTGTTCTCTGCTGTGTGATTTCATTAGCAGCACTATGAAAAGATGCAATGTCTACCACAGAACATGAAAAGGGTCGACCTTAAAGAATTTATAATCTTAAAAAAGGGACTATAACGCACATAGGTCACTATTATAACCCAGTTGTCCAAACAACAGTTAATGTTTTAAGTATTTGAAATTTAAATCCCTGTCCCATAAGAAATGTGAAACTTGGAAGTTTTTAACTCATTTAGCTATGGCAAAATTTTCACAATTGGCTTTCTTTAAATCGAAAAATATGTCATGTTGCCCCTATAGTTACTTTTCATTTCTACCTAGAAACTAATACAGTCTTTAAAAACTTGGAGTTTAGTTAAAGGGCAATCCTGGCTATTATATATTACTTACAAAGGGCAAATATTTATCCAAATGTTATGTTTATACTTGAAATTAATTATTTTAAAAAAAAAAAGCTTATCTCTAATGCCCTGCTTTGGGAGGAATTTGGCTCAATTTCTGTAAAAGCAATCCTTTCTTCCAAAAAAGGATTAAGATTTAAACTCTATTAAAAACTGGAATGTTATTAAACAATTTAAAGACTGGTAATAGAACAGAAAATTTTAGTTTTTAATGTTTATCACTGCAATGGGGATAAAATAGCTATTTCATATTCTACCTTTCTCTAAGATGGAATCAGCCACTGTTATTTTTGGCAAGGTTTCCCCTTCTCTCCCCCATGATGTGAAAGTATCTTTTTTCCTGTTTCCAAAGGAACCAAAAAACTGGAGTGTACACTACCTGATGGAACTGGACGGCATGTTATCCAAAACAACCTCAACTACCCCTTCAGCATTGTTAGCTATGCAGATCACTTCTACCACACGGACTGGAGGAGGTGAGTCTGACACATTCTGGATGAGCCTGAAATTGTAAACTGTTCTGGGGGATACATTGTTTGTTTCACCTAATATCAGCTAGTGACTTTAGTAAGTAAGCCCTCTACTTCTACTGATGTTTTCTTTTTGTTATCTCTTTATTAGTAGACTAGAGGTCCAATGCATGAAATTCGTGCAAGAGTAGGCCTTCCTTCCCCCAGCTGCTGACACTGCTTCCCTCTGGCACCCAGGATCGGGGCATCCTTCACAGCCCAGGCTTTGTCTTGAAGGACTGAAGGACTTCCTGAAGGACGTCCCATTTAATTAGCATATTACCCTTTTATTATTATAGACAGCATCATTCAAATGTTTCCTAGAAATGTAATGGTAATGCTCACATGACTAAAAGTGGCAGAGCTATCCTATCTAATAAAGAGGTAATGTGCAAACTGACTGTCACACCATTACAAAGATGGCGGTGCCCAGTCCCCTCAGACCCACTGGTGTCCCCCAGTCATTTCAGCCCAGAGTGGGGTGGGGCAGCGGCAGGGGCAGCAGGCCACGGTGTGGCCCCAGTCCCCCAGGGCCGGCAAGCCTTGGATGACGGCTGCCCAGCTGCCCAGGGCTAGCCAAGGCGTGTGCTGCTGGCAGTGGCAGCAGCAGATGATCACCGGGTCGGCCTCTGCCCCTGAGGGCTCCTGGGCTGAGAGGGGGCAGACTGGGCTGAGGACCCCCCAGTGCATGAAAATGCACTGGGGCTCTAGTTAGGTAATAATTATCCAAAAAGGAAGCGCTTTAATATGATCTTCAGAGAGTTATAACTGGATTAAGTGGCACCATGAAGTATTATATATTATATGATTGAAAATTACACTGTGGACTTATTAGTTGTCTACCAGTCCTCCAAGGAGGAATTAGGGAACATTAAAAAATATATACAAAATTGGCAAAAGTAGGTTTACAGTTATGTGGAAAGACATGAAAGTTATTATTATAAAAGCCTTAGCTCAAAAGTGTGTCATAGACCTACTTTGCCCATTCCTGTAGTTGTCTGAGCCCTTCTAACCCCTGCAATTTTGATTTAATTGATCAATTTTAATAGATCCTTGTGATTCCAACACCCAGTTAGTGGTCCTCCAACTTCAGCATGGATCAGTTATTTAATAAATATATAATAAAAGGCTAATATGCATATCTACCATGGCAGAACGATTGGCTGCTATGACGTACACTGACTACCAGGGTACACTCAACGCAGAAGCCGCCCCGGGTGGTCAGTGTGCTCCCACATGAGGAGTGCCGGCTGGTCAGCACAGTGGTGGTGGCAGGAGCCTCTCCCACCTCCACCACAGTCAGCCATCCCCCGAGGACTCCCAGACTGCGAGAGGGCACAGGCCGGGCTGAGGGACCTTCCCAAGTGCACGAATTTCATGTACTGGGCCTCTAGTTAAAACTTATTACTGGGTCCTATATCCCAGAATTTGATTAAGTCTGAAGGAGGGCCCAAGAATTTGCATTTCTACCAAGCTCCCAGATGAAGCTGGTCTGAGGACCACTTTGAGAAGCATTGATACAAACCTTCTGAATCTAACTGAGTCAAAACATATTTTATTAATTGAAAATAAAGGCTGTAGATTTTTTTTGTTTTGAAATTTACATTTTTCTATCTAACCTTAAGTCCCATGACTTCATGTTTCCTTTCTGTTCCCAGGGATGGTATTATATCAGTCAATAGAGACAGTGGCCAGTTTACTGATGAGTATCTCCCAGACCAGCGATCTCATCTCTACGGCATAACTGCAGTCTACCCCTACTGCCCAGCAGGTAAACAACATGCCCAGACTGCTCCTTTGGACAGATCTGGCAACTGATTACCCTTGGCCCAAATTCTGGCTGATGCCTCTGACAGAGCCACTATAAGCTGGAAAAGTTAATGGCCAACCCATTGGGTGACCAGTGTTTACTACATTGTCTGCTTAGCTGAACTATACACAAAGAAATATTTTTCCTTTAAAAAGACTTATGTTGCAACTCAGTTGTAAAAAATACTCATACTGTCCTTTCCCAAACTTCCCTTTACAGGAAGAAAGTAAATATAGCATCCTAAAGGACTTGAGTTTACAATCAGATTCTGGACCCTAAAGACATTTACTGCAAACAAAGGCAAAGAAAGTGAAAAAGGAATTGGCCATTAAAAGTTCCTGGACATACAAAATGGACATTGTCAGTGTAAAAAGACTATATTTTGTGAAAAGTTTATACCTCAATCTTCACTACTGTATTTTTAAAAACAAAAATTATCGCAAGTTTAAAAGAGGTAATAGAATTTTAATTGTTGCTCATTAAAGCAACTTTTTTATTAACATTTATGTCATATTTAAAAGGTCAAATTCGTTCAACTAAGAGCCAATTAGAAATTTCAAGACCATATATGAGTTCTCTTTAGCCAAGAAATTAAAGCACAAATGACCAGTATAAAAATAAAACTCTCAAGATCACAAATTTGACATAGAGAAAGCTATGTATAACTGATGGGAAAGAACCAACTTATTTATAGTTTCCCAACAAAAGTTCTAAGAGTTAATTTTTTTTTTTTTACCTCTGCATTACTGCATTTCTATTTATATTAAAAGGTGCTAGAACATTTGTTTGTATTTCCTGATCCTGTAAGTCCCTTTATAGAATAACCCACAAAAATTATTACCATTTATAAATACCAAAGATGTATCAGTCCTCAAATTTTCTAGATTACTCCAATAAAATATTTTAAGTTTTCTTATGACTTTTTGAGGATCTGTATTGTTTCTATAACAAAGTTGGGGGTTGGCATGTACCTTAATTACAAAGGAAGAAACAGATTCATTATACATAAACATAACACACAGTAAAAAAAAGAAATCCGCTTTCCCAAACTTTATTAAAGAAAAAGCAATGATGGAAATCTCTACAACATAAGTCAATTTTCTGGGATTCTTCCCTTGAAAATGTGATGTGTGATTCTGAAACACATACCACGATGTGCATGGTTCCCAACTGTACTAAATGGGTGAGAGGCTAAAATCCTAAAAAGATTCATCTTCCAACTTTCCCCAGTCTGTGGTCTGTCTTTGGATCAGCAATAATTGCCTGAACAGCTACTATGGCTTCATTAATTTTTGTCTGTAGCTCTCTGAGCTCTTCTATATGCAGCAATCGAAGAATTTGAGCAGCTTCATTAAGAACTGCATCTATTTAAAAGAAACATGGCAAAATTAATAACTTGTATTTCAGACCATTTACTCATTTCCCACCAAAATGTTCACCAAGTCTCTAAAATATTTTAAATTAATCAACAAAATAAATTACTTACCTCCTGTGTCAAAACCAAGAATATGCTTGTCTAAAGCAACAGGCAACCCCTTAAAAAAAAAAAAAAAAAAAGGACAAAATGAGACTATAGTTAAGTATTACCTCTTTCTTATCTAAAACTAAAAAGCAGCTAGCTATTCTTTTAATCCTTTTAGTCACAGTAGCAAGGCGAATAAGAGTTCTCTTTAAGTTTGCATTTTGATGTGTTTTTTCCCCCCCTACTATAACCAGTTAGGAAAGAATGGCCCTTAAATATATGGGAGGATAATTCCATAATCCACCCAATCCTTTAAGACCAGGCATATAAAATGGCTCCCCCATCACTACTGCAGGGCTGCTATTATCCCATTTTACCTACAGTAAGCAGCATTGTACAGGACAAATGGAACAGGACTACTTGTAATATTACTTTCCTGAGCACATTAATTTGTCTTTGCAAACTGCACAAACCTAACACATAGTTTTCAACGAAATCTTAACAGATTATCTATATGTAATATAGATAAAATTTAACTTTCAGCAGTTCATTTTCAAGTTACTTTGAATAGAATATAAACCATTTAACTAACCTGTCAGCACCTACATCTAGATATACCAGAGGGTAGTTATGATGATGCCAAACCATACTGAATTCACAAAACTTATAAAAAATAAGGACAGGCAGTCTAGACTTTCTGTCAATTATAATGAATAAAATCATTACCAGTAAAAGAAGGTCACTATAATTCAATGCTATAAACACTAAGTTGTCACTACTCAATTCTTGCCTAATCTATTAATGAAAATCTTCTTAAGTTCCATCTGCTTCAAAACAGCTAATAAACACACTATGTTAAGTACAGAAACAAACAGGTATGTAAACTCAGTGAGCAAAACTAAAGAGTACAATTGTATACTAGGCTGCACCAGAGGCTTTATTTTCCCTCTCTCTGCCCAAAGACCAAGGAAACTCTATGGCTAAAGAGGACCACATACTAGTTACGAACAGTTACAAACAATAACACAACTGTAAAACTTCTCCACTGTATTATTTATAGCATGGAATCTTTTGAGATGACATTAAAACTAAGATTTATTTGGAGCACTGAAAATAAAACTAAATTTTATTTTGCAAACAGCAGCAGTGATTCGGCTATGTCCTTATTTGCACTGCCTTCCAAACCATAGCTTTACTGAATGAATTTACTCTCTGTTTAAAGTGTGGGAGAAAGAGGCTGATCTTTAACTCAATTTCCAGTGGCTGGATTCACACATAATTAATAAGCCAGTAAGAATCTCTAAAAGAAACTAAGTGTCTTTCAGAGGGAGTACACTTACCTGGCATCAATAACCTTTTAATAGAGGACAAATAACATTGGGGAAATTGAGGGAGGCAAAAACACACACAAAAGGACCAGGGTTCATGATGGTGGTGGTACTAAAGGCAGTCGCTGCAACATCTGGACAGGAGGAAGGGGGCATTATCAGGCAGCTGCTGCTAACCCATAGGACATTCTCTGTACTGCCCCATAGTCCATGAGACTTTAGGGACATTTAGATTTCTGGTACAGTTTACCTAAAAACTTCCCAGAATTATTAGATAATTATGGTATAGTTTTCTCATTCTACAAATATAAATTTTAGTTACCTGAACCCTGAACCTAGTAAGCCTCTCTATCCCCAATTCACTTAGAATATCAACTAGCTCATGTAAGCCACCACACACGAATCCTTGTCTCAACCGTGTTATCTACTAGGTGACATTATGCAAGTTACTTATGTTTTATGCTAGGAAATAGAAAAGGTAAAATGAGATTTCTCTGAAGAAACAAATGAGCAAGTGTAGGATTAAGGTCAAAAAGAAAAATACTAAGAGTGGTTGTGTCCTGTTTCCCAGCAATTAGTCAAAATATCCCAGAATACATTTCACAAGTGCACATTTCTTTAAATAAACTTTAACTAGATACATGCAGTGATTTACACTGGTAGAGTGGATGTGCCATTAGCAGCTTTTCTAAGGTATGAAGGGAGATAAACATGAGTTCATTTTTCACTCAAAATGATTAGACACAATTTGTTTAAAAACCACATTCAATCCCTTGAAGTAAGTTATTCTTTCTCTAGGCAGTTCTAACACAGAATGGATATCTTAAAGTAGTAACATGCAGAATTTAAACCCATGACAACACCAGAAACTTTCATTAATAATTACTTTAGACTTTGTGTTTTTTTTTTAAAATACATACCTCTTTTGCTTGATTTGCTTTAGCAACTGCATCCTGTGTCAGGCGTTCCTGGACCAAAATGCGAATTGCCTAAGAAACCCAAAAATACTGTTTTTAGTTTTCACTGGCTGTTTGTCATCTTTTCTTCGGAGTCTAGATAAGAAGGATGTCCAGTTTGATCAAGTTAGAATTACCTAGTTCATTAACAAACTCCCCATTAAAAAAACATATTGTAATAAAAGTTCTCACATTTAATATTTAAAATGTGAAATGATAACTAAAACAATTTAAAACATGTTTTTGTGAATAGGTAACTCATGTGTGCAGTAAAACAAAAAATTTAAATAAAGGACACGTGGTAAAAAGTAGGTCTCCTTCCTTGTCCAAGCCTCAACGATCCCTCCAGAAGACAATCATTACTACCAGACCCTTGGATTCTTATTCAAGTGCAAACATACTCTGGCAAACCTGAGCACACACATGCAATCTCTGACACAAAGGGTAGCACATCACATACACTGTCCATGCTTTCTTCACTTAATTATAGTAAAATGTTTTCAGGTCTTTCATAGAACATGTGTTTTTTTTTTATCACCAAAGAATTTTATTCTAGCAGACACATGTGCATACATGCATCTGCATAAACTAAAAAATAAGATTTTTAAATGGAATTTTAACTAATGGATGACAATTTCAACTCAAAAGTAAGTGTGAAAACTGGAAATTTGTTTAAATAATAAAAATAAATCAAATGCTACATTTGAGAAGATTTACTTAAACCAATCTTTAGCAGTGCTTGCAAATTAAACAGTCTGGTGGTCAAACAGTTAATATACTGATTCTCATACTTGACAAATCTATGAAGGTGTTTTCCATGTTGTTATACATTGTTTGAATGCTTCTTAAAATAACTCAAAGGGCCGGGATGGGTTTGGCTCAGTGGATAGAGCGTCGGCCTGCAGACTGAAAGGTCCTGGGTTCAATTCCGGGCAAGGGCATGTACCTTGGTTGCGGGCACATCTCCGTAGGGGGTGTACAAGAGGCAGCTAATCGATGATTCTCTCTCATCTATGTTTCTAACTCTCTATCCCTCTCTCTTCCTCTCTGTGAAAAATCAATAAAATATATTAAAAAAATAAATTTAAAAAAATAACTCAAAGGACAATCATGAACTAGGATAATAATTTTACGAAGCTTATGATTATAACTGAATTTTACTTTTTCCCATTGGGTGTTTAAAGTATTACAAAGAGAACCTCTAAATGCTAAATTGTCTTCCTCCTCCCCCCAGTTTATGATTAAAGCTGATGTGAATACTATAGAACTGTTCCAAACAATTTACATAATTGTCTAGGTTAAGGAACAAACCTTTGAAAGGGCTAAATTTAACTAAATACAAGTTTTTGTCTTTTCTGAGAAAATCCAAGCTGACATTTAGAGTCAGCATACAGAATAATAATCTAGGAACAGAACAGTCTTTCCACTGTTACAACTGCCATTTATTATATACAATTCTAAATAGTAGAATAAATTAAGGCTTAATCTTTCTTAGGGGTAGAGTGAAATTTAATTATTTAATTCACTGCAAAGTGATTTAAAAGTAATTTATATGCACAAGGTCTAGATTTTTATGAGAAACTAAAACTTTAATTAAACTAAAATAATGTCCAAGTCTGGTATCGTCAGTACCGCTCCCCTCCCCATGAGACCTCCCACAATACTGTCACAATTACTTAGCATAAATTTTCTGAAATATGAGTATATTTTCCCTCTCAGAAATAAGACACCTTTTTCAGACCACTGGAATTCCTGAAGTGAAGGTAGGAACTGAGGGCCTACCTAGGAAGGGTGACTTGGAAAACAAACATTCTGTTTTGGGATATGTACTATTGGCCAAATTCATCACCATTACTAATTTGGCATGTTCTACTATCTTAATGAATACAAATGATGAATATTTGAAAGACTGATTAAACATAAATAGGGTGATTTAGGAAATGTAGCAACAAGGTCAGAATGCCTATGTTAAAATCCTGGCTCTATCATTTTTTGTGTCATCTTAAGGCATTTATTCTCTTCAAGTCTATTTCTTTATATACATATTAAAAAGGAAGACATTAGCATATACCTCTAGAATTTTGGGGAGGATTGGATGAAATCATCTTTGCAAAAGGATGTAAACAAAACGGCAGGCACACACTTTGATATTTGCTGTTATTAGACAATCTAAAACAGATGAAATCGCTTTATGTTCCACATTCCTCCACATTTTAGTTATCAACCATAAATTTAAATATAAAAAGTTGATTTAAAAAAATGAAGTTTAAATATATATGTATGTATGTGTATTATATGTATGTGTATATGTATAAAATATATACACACCCATATATATATATAAAATATCTGTCAAGAATCAAGAATATGAAGCTGACCTTAAGCATTACCAGGTAATCATCATGACGTTGAATCTGAAGAAGGTTAGCCAAAGCCATTACACCCGCCTTAAAATCAGGATTATTAACTAGAAAAAATTAAAATGGAAACTTAGAGCTCTGCAAACATAGAATTAGACAGATATATAAACATAAATTTACAAGAAGCATTTTGAATTTTCCAGGGACAACAAATCTCAATTTTTAAAACTTCTGACCAGAGCAGTGCAGGCACATCAACAACTAGGCAAACTGATAAGATTAACGATTTTCTTATTAATCAGCCAAACTGAACAATCCAATAAATAACTAAATTCACTCATAACTTTTTCTGCAAGGCCCATTGATGCAGCACTTTTAATTAATATTTCTCCCCAAAGCTATTCATTTTTATACATAGATCCCTTTAACGGACATTTTTCCCAAAACCTTTTCTCTAAGCAGCAGCTCTCGAGTGCCGAAGCAGCTTATTAATTCACAAGAATAACTCAAGTTACAGGTCACAATGTATCAGCAAAAGAATTATTTAACGTATTATTATAATGTAAGTAATTAGACTCTTTATACTTTTTAAAGCAAAATTACTAAAAGACATCTAGACTTAAAACAATTAAATATTTCACCACTTTCTCACAGTGACACATTAGATTAGAAGAAATGTATGTTACCAGAAAGCAAACAATCATACAAATCAAAATATCCACATTACTATGAGAAGATCAAAGAACAGCATTTCAATATTCAGATATTCAATTATAAGAGGACTGAGACAGCATATTGTAACTGAGAATTAAAATTTAAAAAAAAACAAAACACAAAGAATAAAATATCCTCACAAATGCTACCTGCATGAAGTATTCTTAATTTACTAAAACCAAGTAAACCCAGACTTCATTTTAAGAAATAGAATTATTCAGGAAACCAAAAATGTTGATCATCTTTATGCAGTTACATGGTCATCTCCTCTTATCCAAAGGAAATCCATTCCTAGACCCCCACTGGATGCCTAAAACTGGGACAGCACCTAACCCTTTATATACCACTAGAGGCCCAGTGCATGAAAATTTGTACATGGGCTGGGGGTGGGGGGGGTGGGGAGAGCGTTCCTTCAGCCCAGCCTGCCCCCTCTCACAGTCCAAGAGCCCTCAGGGGATGTCCTACTGATGGCTTAAGCCACCCCCATCCGCTGCTGCCACCACTGTCAACACTGCCAGCCAAAGCGGCTGCCTGAGCCCCGGGCCTTGCAGCTGCATGAGCCCATGGCTGCCTCACAGCCGCTGTGGCTTAGTCCAGATGGACGTCTGGAAGATGTCCACCTTAATTAGCATATTACCCTTTTATTAATACAGATGTTTTTCCATATATATATATATTATGTATATATGTTTTTTCATTTTAAATAAGCTCTTTACAGCTTCTCTTTGGCATATACAAATTGCCAATATCACATCTCATGTTTTGGGGCCATTATGTAGCATAAGGTTCCCTGTACACAAACACTGGGATACCATGATAATTGATCTGATAACCAGCAGATACTAAGTGATTACAGTGTGGATATGCTGATCAAAGGTTTGATTCATAAGCTAGGCAAGAAAGTGCAAGATTTCACCATATTACTCAGAACAGTGTGCAATTTAAAGTGAATTGTTTATTTCTGAAATTTTTCATGTAATATTTTCAGAGCAGTTGACCACAGGTAACTGAAAGCATAGAAAGTGGAAGTGCAAATAAAGGGGGTCTAATGTACTTACCATCCAAATTGATCAATGGCTCTGCATTTTTTGCTGCATTGTCAGCATTCTTTGTATTATCAGATACTGAGTCCTTATATTTTTCAGCTGAAAATAGACAAAAATGCAATTTGTAAAACAGCAACTTAAAACAAGCATTGCTTATTTATTGAATCTGAGCCAAACTGGTTATTATAAAACAAGTCATTCAATTAAAATTATTTTTGCTATTAAAAAAACCTAACAGAAGACAATGTGATTACAGCTTTCTAATTAAGCTAAAATGATTACTGAATTTTTACACAAGGATCTTTTTCACTAATATCTTTAAAGTAATATATATCAGCCGAAACTGGTTTGGCTTAGTGGATAGAGCATCAGCCTGTGGACTGAAAGGTCTCAGGTTCGATTCCGGTCAAGGGCATGTACCCTGGTTGCGGGCACATTCCCAGTAGGGGGTGTGCAAGAGGCAGCTGATGAATGATTCTCTCTCATCGTTGTTTCTAACTCTTTATCCCTCTTTCTTCCTCTCTGTAAAAAAAAAATCAATAAAATGTATATTTAAAAAATAAATAAATAAATAAATAAAATAAAAGTAATATATATCAAACATTATTTAAATCAAACATGTTGCCCTGACCAGTTTGGCTCAGTGGATAGAACGTCAGCCTGCAGACTGAAGGGTCCTGGGTTTTGATTCTGGTCAGGGGCATAAGCCTTAGTTGCGGGTAAATGTAAGTTACATGAGATTTCTTCCCAAGTCTTTTGAAAGCTGTACAAAGAACCCAAAAACTTTTCTTTCTAAAAAAAAAAAAAAAAAATTAGCACTTCAAATAATACACCATCATATACAAGCCTAAACCTATTTTATGGAGACCTGAAAGCCAGAATTCCAAAGGTCAAGTTTGCAACTTTTACTTGAAAAATATTTAATACACTAAATGTAATGTCCAAATGCCATCTTCTGCTATAATGCTTAGATGACTTGCTATTGAAACCAGAGAAAAGTGTTCAAATTTGAATCAGACAGGAGATAGTTTACAGGAGCTCCTACTGGCCAAATTGGGATAGTGTAAACATCAAGATACACTATTAACAAAAATAAGAATCCACAGGGAGAAATGAAGATGGCGGCATAGGTAAACACCTAAACTGCTGCCTTGCACAACAATATCAAAACTACAACTAAAAGACAAAACAGACACCATCCAGAACCACAAGAAAGCTGACTGAGTGGAAATTCTAAAACTAGAAGGAATGAGGAAAGCACATTGAGACTCAGGGGAGCTGAGGTATGAAGACGTGAGCGCATAGAGGATGGGCGGCTAAGTGCACAGGTGGCTGAGTGCACGGGCAGCTGAGTGCACAGCTGGCTTTCTAAAACAGCAGAGAGAAGGAAGCTCCTGACTGCACTAAACTCCAGTCCCAGGCGAAACTCTGGGAACCCACACTCATTTAGGGGAATCTGGACTGTCAGGAAAGGAGAAAGCACACTAAGACTCAGGAGCACTGCAGAAGGCAGAGGTCCAAAGGTGCTGGGGGTGGGGGGGGTGGGGAGAGAGGATTGACTGCTGCGTGCATAGGTGGATGAGTGTATGGCTGGCTTTCTAAAGCGGGAGGGAGAGGGAAGCTCCTGAATGTGAACTCCCGTTCCGGGCAAGTTTCTAGGAAACCAGACTCATTCAGTGCAAAACTGGACTGTTTGGCAGCCAGCAAAACTCGAGGGCGGTTTTCTCTCAGGTACCTGCCGTGATTACCAAGGGGCACTGAGACCCAGGGACCTCATAGGGCAGGGCTGACGGGAAGCCAAGGTTGTCTGCTTTGCCTCGCCAAGCTGAACACAGAAGCTTTTGCAAGTCTTTTCCCATAAGGCTGTCTCCAGCACAGTTCTCCCAGCATAGACACAGCTGATCCTCATAGCCAACTGGCCTGGAGGTCAATTCCTCCCAGTGATACCAATAACAATCAAGACTTAATTACAAGGCTGTGCACCCAGTCCACAAAGGAGTGCACCAAGAGTGTCCACCTCAGGTAACTGGGGCAGGCTGAGCCACTGGGCCCTATAGGACACCTACCACACAAAGCTACTCTACCAGGGAAGCAGCAAAAACGCGGAGACTAAGGAACAGATCACAAATGAAAGGAATGGAGGAAAGCAAATGACTGGATAGAGAGTTCAAAACCATGGTTAAAAGGTTTTTCAAGAATTTTCTAGAAAAGGCAGATAAATTTAGTGAGACCTTCAAGGATATGAAAAAGGACCAACTAGAAATTAAACATACACTGACTGAAATAAAGAATAATATACAGAGAACCAACAGCAGACTAGAGGATTGCAAGAATCAAGTCAAAGATTTGAAATACAAAGAAGCAAAAAACATTCAACAGGAAAAGCAAAAAGAAAAAAGAATCCAAAAATTTGAAGTTAGTGTAAGGAGCAGTGTAAGGAGCCTCTGGGACAACCTCAAGCGTACCAACATCTGAATTCTGTGGGTGCCAGAAGAAAGAGAGCAAGATACTGAAAACCTACTTGAAGAAATAATGACCAAAAACTTCCCCACCTGGTGAAAGAAAGAGACTTACAAATCCAAGAAGCTCAGAGAATCCCAAACAAAAGGAATCCAAAGAGAACCACGCCAAGACACATCATAATTAAAATGCTAAGAGCAAAAGGCAGAGAGAATATTAAAAGCAGCAAGAGAAAAAGTTACCTATAAGGGAGTACCTATATGACTGTCGGCTGATTTCTCAACAGAAACTATGCAGGCCAGATGGGAGCAGCAAGAAATATTCAAAGTGATGAATAGCAAGAACCTACAACCAAGATTACTCTACCCAGCAAAGCTATCATTCAGAATTGAAGGTCAGATAAAGAGCTTCACAGATAAGAAAAAGCTAAAGGAGTTCATCACCACCAAACCAGTATTATATGAAATGCTGGTATATGAAAGGTATTCTTTAAAAAGAGAAAAAAGAAGCAAAAGGTAAAGATAAAAATTATGAACAACAAATACATGTCTATCAATAAATGAATCTAAAAATCAAGTGAATTAAAAATCTGAGGAACAGAATAAACTGATAAATATAATAGAATCAGGACCATAGAAAGGGAGTGGACTGACAATTCTGGGAGGGGGGGTGGGAAAGGGGTGTTGGGGGTGTGGGAGAGACTGGACAAAAATCATACACCTATAAGTGAGGACAGTGGGAGGGAGGTAAGGGCAGTAGGTGGGGTGGGAACCAGATGGGGGGAGTTATGAGGGGGGGAAAGAAGAAACAATTGTAATAATCTGAACAATAAAGATTAAATTTTTTAAAAATCCACATATCCATTTAATCTAATTAAACAAACCAGCTGGAAAGACAGGAAAAGTTCCTCCTTAAAGTAGAAAGCCAACAAGTAAATGTAGAAAAAATGATGGAATTACAAAAACATCATTTGGCAATCATCATCTGCATAACTGACTCAGATGAGAATCATCAAATGGAGCTAAATCTAGTTTGAAGAATAAAAGCATACTAACATCATCTCAAAGTATTTCCTAACAATAAACTTATTTATTACAAAGGAGAAATAATAACTTTAGAATGGAGAAGCCTTAACCAAATGATCAGAGTAATAGGACTAGTAATAGAGACATATCACTAACACATGCCTCCTGATAACATGCACTTAGAAGAACAAAACATCACACTTCTGTATTCTTAACAGAAATACAAACCCTAACTAATCATGAGAAAACATCCGATAAACCCAAACTGAGGAACAGTCAATAACTAATTAACTGTCACGCATTCAAAACGGAAACCATTCCCACATTCCATAGATGCTTATGATATACAAAGGGTTAAATATACATCAGTCTCATGAAGCACAAATAAAGAATGAGGAACTTTTCCAGATTATAGGAGACTAAAGAGACATTAACAACGGAATGCAACACATGATCAAAGATTGCATTTTTGTTTTTGTATAAAGAATATTATTCAGCCCAACCAGAGGTTAAGTATGGATCTATGAACAAGTCATAGTTTGATTCTCAGTCAGGGCATGCATATGCCTGGGGTTGTGGGCTCGATCCCCAGTGTGGGGCATGCAGGAGGCAGCTGATCAATGATTCTGTCTTATTATTGTTTCTCTCTGAAATTAAAATATATTAACAAAACCAAAATAATATTGAGACAATTTATAAAATGTGAATAACAGCTATAGAGAAAAGTAGTGAATCAAAGTTTATTTCTATTTTTGCAAACTATCCTGTAGTTATGTACATTTAGGAAATACACTTAAAGCTAAAAGAGAACCACCTGCAACTTAGTATAAAATGGCTTAGAAAAAATTATGTATGAATATTATATATAGAGAGAACAAGGCAAATGAATTAAATGTTAGTATTTACAGAAAATAAGTATAAGAAAATTTGTTGTATTCTTGCAATTTTTCTGTAAATCTTGTTTAGTTTCAATCACTTAATTGACAAGCTAACAAAACCCTTTAAAAGTACTAAAGCATAATACAAATTTACAATGGTTTCATCAAATAAAGATAAACATTTTAAATATTTCAAAAGTCAAGAAAAATGCAAGGAGTTAATGTAAAACCACAAAAAAACAACAACAGTGCCTTCTACTGACAAGGGACAGTATTACCACTTTGGCCCTTTTCCCAAAAAGTCTGTTCTTACAATTATGAACTTAAAGATTACACAAAAACTTGTTTTCTAGTTTAAACTATCAATATGCTTTTGATATAATTGACCTTTCAACTATAATTAAGCTAAAATTTCAAATAAAATTCAAGTATAAATTTCAATACCAAAAAATTTATTTTCAGAATCAACATCAGTGTATTTATTTTATTAATTAAAAAATATCATGCTAACCCAGCTGGCATTGCTCAGTGGTTGAGCATCAACCTATGAGCCAGGAGGTCTGCAGGTTCAATCCCTAATGTGGGGTGTGCAGGAAGTAGCTGATCAGTGATTCTGTCTCATCATTGATGTTTCTATCTTTTCCTCCTTCTCCATTCCTCTCTGATATCAATAAAAATATATTTGGTACCTATAGTTCCTGGTTCCTAGGTAATCTAAATTAAAGTATTATAAAAATAGACAAATGGGGAATAAATAAAAATAAAGCAGAAATAAATAAAATGTGACTATAATTTCATTTGGGAATAGCTGAAAAACACTTTTGAAAAGCTGGAAAATACTTTGTTAGAAATTAACGTAAGAGTTACCAACTCAAACCAGAATAAAGACTTCCCTAAAAAGTCCTAAAAATCAGCTAATACCACCAAGGCTTATGATCACAATGTTTATTCATAAGTATTTCCTTTTTAAACTAAAATTCAATCTGGAAAAAATAAAAGGGTTGGAGCTTTTAGTATTTCTGACATAAGGTTTCTGAAATTTAAGTCTGGAGCTGGGTGGTGCTCCATATTAGAATATGTGAATATCAAATACTGTATTTGCCAAACATTAAGTCTTCTATTATATGCAAAGAAATAGAATCATGACTGCCCACTCCCTTCCAAAGATGCCCATATTCCCTAATTCCTGTAAACTATGAATGCTAACTTCCATGGAAAAAGGACTATGCAGATATGGTTAAATTAAAGATTATCCAGGTGGGCCAATGTAATCACAGCACCCTTATAAGAGGGAGCAAGATGATCAGAGATGTGAAAATGGAAATAGTCACAGAAAGACTAAAGTTAGATTTGAAGATAAAGGGACAAAGTCAAGGAATGTAGGCAACCTCCAGAAGATAGAACTAAGACAAAGAAAGAAATGGATCTTTCCCTAGAACAGTGGTTCTCACTCAACCTTTCTAATGCCGTGGTCTTACGTTGAGAACCACCAGCAGGGTCGCCTAAGACCATGGGAAAACAGATATTTACATTATGATTCATTAACAGTCGCAAAATTACAGTTATGAAGTAGCAACAAAAATAATTTTATGGTTGGGGGTCACCACAACATGAAGAACTATATAGGGTCCGAGGCATTAGAAAGATTGAGAACAACTGCCTTAGAACCTCCTGAAAGACTCTGTCAACAACCTGACAATAAGACAGATGGCTGGGCTTCTGATCTCCAAAGACTGTAAAATAATAAATTGTGTTTAAAGTCACTGAGTTTGTGATAATTTGTTACAATGGTAATAGGAAACTAACAGAGGTACAATACCACGTAGGAAATAAACTGAGTAAGAGTTTACAATTTAGTGGGGCAAATAAGAAATAAACAAAATGGAAAGTGAATGACTTAAAAGGTATAGAGTTAAAAACTATGAAAGTTCAGAAGGAAATGCTAATTGGCATTTGTGCTGCATCTTATAAGGATGAGCAGGATTTAGAATGTGTAGAGAATAGAGTGAAATGGCATATTAGTCAAAGGAAAATGTAAGCCAAGAAATGGAGGGAAGAAAAAAAAAAGATGTAAACAGAAACCAGCATTAATCTAGTTTGTCTGGGATATCAAGCACATGAATATTGGCTGGCACCAGTTATCAAAGGCCTTGAAACCAGACTAAGGAGACTGTAGTCCCTTTTGGAGAAAAATGGAAAAGCAATGTTGCTTCTAACATAATAGGAGGTGCTTTTTTTGGAAACCAAGCATAGGATTCTAAAACAGATTGGTTTTTAAAAGTTAGTTTGATGGGACATGCTGATGAGAACAGAGGGTGATGCTAAGAGACCAGTATGAGAGAGATTATAATAATCTCAGTAGAAAGTGATAAGGGACTGGAATGAGGCCAATAGTAGTGGGAAGAAAGAATAGATACAATAGACATGGAGGAAAATAGATGGGAACAGGATGGGAAGAAAAGGGAGTCAAAGATATCAAAAAGGCTTAAAAAAGCAATGACTAAGAGAACTGAACTGACAGCCCCATAAGTAAGAACAACACAAAACCCAGAGGGTGGAGGTAAGATAATCAGATCTTGCATTTAGATTTTGACAGGCCTTTCAAAATGAAATGGTCTAGTGAGAGGAAACGTTAGTTTTATGTTGGTTTTTTTACTATATATATTAGTATTTAAAAGCTTCCAATAAGTATCTGTAACTAAATGACATTACACATAAATAATATATTTTGACCTATAATGTATATCGACACTAGATGTATGTTTCAGTTTCTTGTGAAATGACCTGCTGCAATCAACATTCTGGAATCCTATCAAGTCTTGAAATCTAACAATTCAACTTGAAAGGCTAAGGTGCAGACTGTGAAAGATGAAAAATTTACTAATGTAATAAATACTACTTTTTGAGAAGGCATAAAAAAGCTTTCTCCAGAAGACATCATTTCTAAATTCTAAACAAAAACAAAACAAAAATTTATATACCAATGAAAGACAGTGTTTTTAACTTCTTATAATAACAAAAAGACTAATTTTAGAAAAGAAAATTCTTTCCCAGACAATTTGGGAGCTTGGAGGGGATGGGAGATGATTACTAGATAAAGAAGAATGGTTACCAAAAAGTAAGTTTTTAAATTGATACTGAAAAGGAACATGAGGATATATAAAACTTAAAATGAACCAAAAGTAAAGACAAAGAAACACAAACTGGTGTTCCCTACATTTTTACACTCCTTTCCTAAGTCCCTCTCCCTCCTCTCTCTAAAACATACATTGCCCACAAAACATACCGTTATCTCCATATTCAAGTCTAACGGCTAAACCAAGAAGCCAGTCAATTGCTTCTTGTCGATCTTGAATCTTGAAAGGACAGCTAACATCTGTAAGATACTGTGAGAGAGAAAAGAAAATCACTTTCATTATTGCTATAAAGTCACAGAATCAAAGAAATGATAAAGTTAAAAGATACCTTAGTTTGGATCTCAAAGAATTTCTTGAAACATTTAAGTGTACCACCTTAAGTATTTCCATCATGCTTTTTGAAATTTTTCTTTTGAAGATTCCAGATTTAGAACTTCCTTATTTTATAGATAAGAAAATTGAGGTTAACACTTGCCAATGGCCACACAACTTAGATCTGGGACCTGAATCTAAACTTCCTGATTCCAGGTCTTAATACACATAGAGCAATTAAATAAAAAGGACTCTAAAAAGACGGATATAAAAATAAAGAGACTGAATTTTTAATTTGAGAAAATCCTTCGGAAGAAGCAAGGAGAAATGGCAAAGGATAAAAAGAAGCTAAGTTGTATGAATAAATACGTTGCTATTTAGAAAAGAGAGTCCCAGAAAGATAGGGGGGGAAATGCAGTGTTTTTAAAACCACTGGAAATAAATTTCTCAGACTTAGTAAAACCCAGAAGAACAAAATGGAAGAGGGTGAAGATTAAAAATGGTGGCAGAGTAAGTGTATGCTTCATGAACATGCACCCAGGAACAAACTGGTATTACAATTAAAATAATGAAAAACTTCCTGAAAAATCAATGGAAAACTCGCGGGAGAGCCCTGACGCCTGAGAACTGAAAGTGGAGACCGCATAGAGACTGGTAGGAGGGGTGGAAGTGCGAAAGGTCTGGCTAGGCACCCACAGACCGCAACCGAAGTCCCAGAGAGATATCTCAGCTGTGGGGAGTTGCCACTGAGAACTTTGGGGTCTAATCCCCAAGCTGGGCGCTCCAGCAGAGAGCACCAAAACTGAGGAGGGCACCAAAAAACATCTGGCTGTGAAAAGCAGCCAGAGAGTAACAGCTGAAAATTCAGGCACCCTCTTAAACGACCAACGCACAAAATCCTTTGTGGAGCCACCCACTTTGTGCTCCGGCAGAGGGAGGGTGAAGTGGGCTGGAGCTGTGAGAGCAGAAGCCGGGACTGGGGACTGGAGATGGAGCTCAAAAGGCAGACACTCCAAATTTTCTGGGCCTAGTCATTCCCTCACGCAGCTGAGGGCATCTTTCCCACATAGACAGACATCAGTCCTGCCTGGGGGTAAGACAGTCAACACATTCTATTGGGAAACACCTTGCCCTGAGGACACTTAAGAGATTAAAAGTAACAATCAGCCTCTAGGCAGAAGTAACTGCCCCACCCTGTTAAACAAACAAAAAACTCAATGAACACTTGAGGACAATTGCTCTGGGAAGCAATTCTAGTGGAATCCTATCAGTCTGTAGGTGAGGCAGTCTCTAGAGGCTGAGCCTTTAACCTGTTAACCGAGCAGGACGTATAAATACGTCAAACGTAAATAATATCGGGTACCGGTAGGACATATGAATACGTCCTTGAAATATATGTCGCGCCCTGAATGAGTGGGACGTATATTTCCGAACAACAAAGGTATTAGTCATCCATACATGTCTCGACATGAATTTAAGACACGGAGGGAATCAGTATAATTTCGCTATTGAGAGTGGTGGACGTGTTCTGGGTGAGCAGTGACGGGTACGTATAATACTTACACTTACCTACCTATTTTCGTATTATATATTATTTACTTATATTTTTTATATCTCCAACCTTTATATAATAGAAAAACATATAAAATTGATCCAATCATCAATAATTTATCAGAAAAGTTTAAAAGTTTTTATGTATGTGAAGGAGAAATATGCGTAGATGAGTCTTTTATTATGGAAAGGGAATTTGTCTTGGAAACAATATATATCTACAAAAAGAGCTAGATTTGGAATGAAGTTGTTTATTTTGAGTGAAAGCCAATCTGGATACGTACAAAATATAATTTTACACACAGGCAAGGACACAAATTATGGTTCGAACTACCCACAAGAAAAACAATCAACAAGAATTGTTTTGGAGTTAACACATGACTTACTGAATAAAGGGTATTGAATTTACTTAGATAATTTCTATACGTCAATTCATTTGGTTGAACTCTTGTGTCAAAACAATACAGACATTGTTGGAACAATGAGGATAAACAGAGCCGGAATCCCCAGTGAAATAAAAACAAAAAAATTACAGAAAAATGAACATATAGTAAGAATCAAAGACAAACTTATGGTCTTAAAATGGAAGGATAAAAAAAGACACATTGATGCTCAGTTCTATTCATAATGATGAAAAGGCAATGATTGAAAAGAGAGGAAGAAGGCAAGAAAAACCGAATGTTGTCCTGGATTATAATAAGAATATGGGCGGCGTAGTCGAAACCAGTTTGGCTCAGTGGTAGAGCGTCGGTCTGCAGACTGAAAGGTTCCGGGTTCGATTCTGGTGAGGGGCATGTACATTGGTTGCAGGCACATCCCAGTAGGGGGTGTGCAAGAGGCAGCTGGTCGATGTTTCTCTCTCATTGACGTTTCTAGCTCTCTGTCTCTCTCCCTTCCTCTCTGTAAAAATCAATAAAATATATTTAAAAAAAAAAAAAAAAAAAGAATATGGGCGGCGTAGATTTGGGAGATGGGGTTATGGTGGCCTACACGGCTGCCCGTAATAGGGTAAAAAAATTTTATAAAAAAATTTTTCTACGATTAATTGCTATGTGCTGCTTCAATGCATATATTATATACAAAAAAGATAAAGGTCATTTGGATCGATTACACTTTTGATAAGAGTGTGCAGAGAAATTGGTAGATAACAACATAGTGAAAACCCACCCAAAGACATCAACAAGCAGCTCTACATCTAAACCATCGCGCTTAGTTGAAAGGCACTTTCCAGAACAAATGAAAAGCGATATAGGAAAAACTAAATCCAGGAAATGCCGAGTTTGCTACAAAAAAGGTATTAGGAAAGAATCTACATACTGGTGTCCGGATTGTAAGGTAGCTCTATGTATCAACAATTGTTTTAAAATACATCACATGGAAGTTGAGTTTTGAATTTTTACATCTATATTTCAATTTTTTAAACTCAATATTTCTATTTTATTTGTGTGCTTTTGTTTATTGTTCTGTAATTGTTAACTTCTTTATATTTTTTATTGTGTATAAAAATAAAAAATATATTTTTTGTAATCTTTATAATTGTAAAATTTATAATTTTTTAATTCGATGTTTCCATTTTTTTGTTGGTATTCTTTTCTATTTGTTTGTAATTTTTGTAAATTTGTGCTTTATATATAAATAAACGAAAAATATATATTTCATTTATTTTAATTAAGTATAAATAAAAAAATAACATAAAATTACGTCCACTGGGCGTGACGTACTGACATGTCCTAGTGAAAGAGTATGTGCCCGTAGTACATTGCGTAATTAAAAAGGGAACTCCCCAGTTAACAGGTTAATCTAATTAGTTAGAAACAGCGTTTAACATAGTCCTGCATTAGAGATTAAGAGGTGTAGAGGATCTACCTTAAACATAGTCACAAACCCAAAACAGAAAGCCAAAATGAGGAGACAAAGAAACAACCCCCAAATAAAAGAACTAGAGAATTTTCCAGAAGAGATAAATGAAGAAGAGATTCATCTGAAACAGAATTCAGAGTAATCATGGTAAAGATGCTCAAGAGCATGAAAAGAGATATAGTAACAGCATGAAAAAAAAGATATAGTAACAATCTGAGATAAAGAATAACATCTATCTAATAATAGAGGAATATGGAAATGGTCCAGGATGCCATCACAGAAATAGTAATGACCAGCAGGCTGTGTGGGACGACCAGGCCGGCAGGGGGGTTAGTGAGGGATGATCAAAAGACTGAACTGCAGGCTTTGTGGGGCAACCAGGCTGGCAAGGATGAGCAGTTGGGGGCAACCAGGCCGGGAGCGGGGGGGCGGTTGGCAGTTGGGAGTGACTAGGTTGGCAGGGGGGAGCAGTTAGGGGAGATCAGGCAGGCAGGTGAGCAGTTAGGATTTTTTAATTTGATGTTTCCATTTTCTAGGAGCTAGCAGTCCCAGATTGTGAGAGGGACATCCCCCAAAGGGTCCCAGATTGGAGAGGGTGCAGGCTGGGCTAAGAGGACCGGCCCCCACCTCCCTTTCACCCTCCCACCCCCCCCATGAATTTCATGTACCAGGCCTCTAGTAACACAAATAAAGAACACATTGGAAGGAATACACAGCAGGTTAGGGGAAGCTGAGGATCAGAATCAGTGAATTAGAAGACAGAGTTGAAAATACCACTCAATCAGAAAACCAAAAAGAAAAAAGAAAAAAAACAAGAGGGCAGCTTAAGGGAGCTGTGGGACAACATGAAACATAACAATATTAGAATAGCAGCTATGCCAGAAGAGGCAGAAAGGGAGAAAGGCATAGAGGTGTTTGAAGAAATAGTGGCAGAAAACTTCCTTAACCTGGTAAAGGACAGTTCAGGAGGCACATAGAACCCCAAACAAGAACCCAAATAGGCCGAAACCGGTTTGGCTCAGTGGTAGAGCGTCGGTCTGCGGACTGAAAGGTCCTGGGTTCGATTCCGGTCAGGGGCATGTACCTTGGTTGCGGGTACATCCCCAGTAGGGGGTGTGCAAGAGGCAGCTGGTGAATGTTTCTCTCTCATCGACGTTTCTAGCTCTCTCTCTCCCCTCCTCTCTGTAAAAAATCAATAAAATATATTTTAAAAAAACAACAACACAAGAACCCAAATAGGCCCACGCCCAGACAATTATAATTAAAATGCCAATAATTGAAGACAAAAAGAGAATCTTAAAGGTAGCAAGAGAAAAGAAAACTATTACCTACAAAGGAGTTCCCATAAGGCTGGATTTCTCATCAGAAATTCTATAGGCCAGAAGGGAATGGCATAAAGTACTCATTATCCAGACTCCTCAAGAAACAAAGAGAGAGGACCCAAATAAATAAAATCAGAAATGAAAGTGGAGGAGTAGCCGAAATCGGTTTGGCTCAGTGGTAGAGCGTCGGTCTGCAGACTGAAAGGTCCCAGGTTCGATTCCGGTCAAGGGCATGTACATTGGTTGCGGGCAGATCCCCGGTTGGGGGTGTGCAGGAGGCAGCTGGTCGATGTTTCTCTCTCATTGACGTTTCTAGCTCTCTATCTCTCTCCCTTCCTCTCTGTAAAAAATCAATAAAATATATTAAAACAAAAACAAAAAAAAAAGAAAGTGGAGGAGTAACCACTGACACCACAGAAATACAAAGAATTATAAGAAAATACTATGAACAACTATATGCCAACAAGCTGGACAACGTGGATGAAATGGAAAAATTCCTAGGAAAATACAATCTCCCAAAACTGAAACAGGAAAAATCAAAAAACCTGAATAGGCCAATAACAACTGATAAAATAAAAGCAGTTACTAAAAAACTCCCAAACAAAAGTCCAGGTCCAGAAGGCTTCACAGGAGAGCTCTACCATACACTCAAGGAAGAACTAACACCTACACTCCTCAAACTATATCTGAAAATCCAAGAAGAAGGAATACTTCCAAACTCTTTTTGAGGCCAGCATTATCCTAGTTCCATAACCAGATAAAGACACTACAAAGAAAGAGAATTAAAGGCCAAGATTCCTGATGAACATAGATGTTAAAATCCTCAACAAAATATTAGCAAATTGCATCCAGCAATATATGAAAAAGATCATACACGATGATCAAGTGGAATTTATTTCAGGATGCAAGGCTGGCACAATATTCGAAAATCAATAAACATGATACATCACAAAAACAAACAGAAAGACAAAAATCACATGATCCTATCAATAGTTACAGAAAAAGCATTCAGCAAAATCCAACACCCATTTTTGATTTAAAAAAATCTCAGCAAAGTGGGAATAGAGGGAGCATATCTCAATATGATAAAGGCCATTTATGACAAACCTACAGCCAACATCATACTCAATGGGCAACAAATAAAACCATTTCCCCTAAGAACAGGAACAAGATAGGGATGCCCACTTTCACCACTCCTGCTTGAAATATCGATAGTAATGGATGTGCTAGCCATAGTGATCACACAAGAAGAAATAAAAGGCATCCAAATTGGAAAAGAATTGTCATTATTCGCAGATGACATATTGTACATAGAAAACCCTAAAGACTCCATGAAAAAAACTACTAAATTTAATAAATGAATTGTGATTGCGCTTACTTTAAAACAGCTCAATGATGGAGAAAATTATGGCTAAAAAAAAAAATCACATTATTGCCACTTTGCTTTGGTCCAGGAATATCCCCAGAGAGGCGGCCTTTTTATTTTTTATATCTTTTTATTTTTTATTTTTTAAATCTTTTAAAAATATATATATTCTTATTGATTTCAGAGAGGAATGTAGAGAAAGAAAGAAACATCTATGAGAGACAATCATTGTTGGCTGCCTCCTGCACGCCCCACACCCAGGCAAGAGCCCACAACCCAGGCAGGTGCCCTTGACCAGAATTGAACCCAGGACCCTTCAGTCCTCAGGCTGACACTATGCACTGAGCCAAACTGGCTAGGGTCAGACATTTTTTATATTGTAGTCCCCCATTATCTGCGGGGACTATGTTCCAAGACACTCAGTGGATTCCTGAAACCTCAGATAATGCCAAATCCTACAAATTTATATATATTCTCACACCTATGATAGTTTAGTTCATAAATTAAGTTCAGTAAGAGTTAATAAAATAGAATTACAATATTACTGCAAAAAAAGTTATGTGAATGGGTTTCCCTCAAAATCTTACACTGTGCCCTCTTCTTCTGAGGATGTGAAAGGATACAATGCCTATACAAGATGAAATGAGATAAATGACATAGTAGGCATTCTGATGTAGCATCAGGCTACCATTGACCTGTTGTCAATTAAGGGTGATTTGAACACAAACACAGTGATACCGTGACAGTTGACCTAGATAATGGAGATAGCCAGTAAGTGAATAAAGGATGAATAGGATATAGTGTGGTTATGCTGGAAAAAGAGATGATTTACCCCTGGGACAGGGCAGAATATCACAAGATATCACCATTATACTCATAATAGTGTGCAATTTAAAATTAATAGATTATTTCTGGAACTTTCCATTTATTACTTTCAGAAAGTGAAATGACTGTGGGTAACTGAAACCTTGAAAGAGCAAAGGAAAATAACCTAGTAGTAGCAATAAGAGTAGTAGAGGCAGTGGAACAAGCATATAGTATTTGCTTAGCATTTGCTGTGGGCTAGGCACTCTGTAAACAGGTATATTATAACTGAATAACAACACAAGCCACCACTATGAAATAGGTACCACTGTTAACCCCATTTATTGATGAGAACTTTGAGACACAGAAAAGATTAATAAACTTGCCCAGGCATAGAGATAGTATGTAACTTACACAATCCTCTAATTCATAGTCTCTGATTCTAAGGAGAAAGATACCTAATCACTTTGCTCTAACAAATGAAAAATTTGGTCTTTTTTATATTTTTAAAGGAAACTACCTTACTCATTAAAGTAATATAGTCAATGAAAATGTTTACTATAAGTAATGATATTGTAAAATGTTATTTTTATTCTAATTTGGAAATAATTCTTTTTCTGTAAAAGTGTTATTAAAATTAAACTAAGTCACAAATAATAGTAAAAATTATTCTAGCCACAAAAATAAAATATGCATTCAGGGCCTTTTAGGATTTTCTATTATACACAACAAGGGACATGTTTGTACATTACATATAATCATAAATAGGACAATCTTTGTTTTCAAGCATATCAATGTCTTATCCTATCTAATAAAAGAGTAATATGCAAATTAACCATCACTCCGTGATAAAAATGGCAGCCCCCATAGCCACAAGATGGTGGTGCCCAGTCCCCTCAGCCCCGCTGCTGGAGTGTCTGGGCCTGTCCGCCCCCAGGGGTTGGATCCAGCCTACCTGTTCCACCAGTGCTGCAGCGTCTGGGCCCCTCAGTCCCTCACAGACCAAGCAGAGGGCAGAGCCAGGACAGGCTTGAGGTAACCAAGCGGAAAAGATGAATCCGCCGCTGGAGGGGGCGGATCCAGCCTTCCCGCTCCAGCGTCTCGGCCCATCAGCCCCGTGGGTGTTTGCACAGACCAAGAATCTGTCCTCAGACAGAGCTGGACAGCAGGCTTGGGGCTTCCTAATAAGGTGGCAGCAGGAACACCCCTAGCCCTGCAGACAGAGCCAGGACAACAGGGCATAGGGGCTTCCTTTGTGTGTCAGTGTAGGCGAAGCCCCTAGGCCTGGCAGACAGAGCACACTGCAGGGCATTGGGGCTTGCTTCACATGACGGCAGGCAGAGGCAGAGAGCAGATAGCAGGGCATGGGGGCTTCATCTCCGTGGTTGCAGCGAAACCCCCAAGCCCCGCAGAGAGCAGAGAACCACAGGAGTGGGCCTGAGTCATCAGTAGGACATCCCCGGAGAGCTTCTGGATTGTAGAGGGTGCAGGTTGAGCTGAGGGACCCCCGTGCACAAATTTCATGCACCGGGCCTCTAGTTTTAATATTAGTATTATTGCTACACTTTTAATCTACTGTAAAACTTACTTTGGCCATTTTTTACCACTTATAGAATATGTGTATATCACTGTTTATCTTTATTTTCCAGACAAAAATATTTCTAATACTGAAAGCTTGGTAGAAAGAAAGAATATAACTTACTCTAATAAAACTAAAGTTGAATCCTGAAATTCAGCTCTTCAACACTGATTATTATTTTTATTTGAAAAGAACAAAGTACTTTGAAGCATGTTTGTCTTTATATAATTTTTAGAAGAGCTCTCTGTACTTTTATTTTACTTTTTAATTGATTACCTTTTCAAAGAACTTGGGCCAGTCATTGCTGTGGATGTTTCTTAAATTACCTCTGTCTTCAATCTTGTAGTGTCTGATTTTCTGGTCTTCAAGCCAAACAATGAAGTTTCTAAATTCCGTTTCATCTGCAACAAAAATACCATATAAATTACTAGAAACACTTCCTTCACCTCAAATAAGTGGTTTTATGGAAAATTTAACTCCAAAAATAAGAAGTTAATTGATCTCTCCAAGTAGAGGTAAAAGTGCAGACTCTGGATCAACAGATCAAAAATGTTCTGCTCATATCTTAGCCTAAATTCAAATTCTGGTTCCAGATAGTGGTTGTGTAAACTTGGGCTCATCACCTTAATTTTCTCTTCTTCAGATTCTTGAGTTACAAAATGGAGGTAATAATTATAGAGTTATGAAAATTAAATGAAATAAGCCGAAACTGGTTTGGCTCAGCGGTAGAGCGTCGGTCTGCGGACTAAAAGGTCCCAGGTTCGATTCTGGTCAAGGGCATGTACATTGGTTGAGGGCATATCCCCGGTAGGGGGTGTGCAAGAAGCAGCTGGTCGATGTTTCTCTCTCATCGACGTTTCTAGTTCTCTCTCTCCTTTCCTCTCTGTAAGAAAAATCAATTATATATATATATATATATATATATATATATATATATAAAAGAAAATTAAATAAGATTAAGTGTCTGGTAGATAGTTTTGGCTACTTCAGTGTTATTAATTCCAGTTCCTTTGGAGAGAGGGACGGGGCAAGGTTCAATGTAAAGCAAAGCGATAATAAAGCACAAAAATTAAATTACAAAATAAAAAAAAGATACTATTGTCACTGTTACAGCACATTAAGTGTACACATGATAAAGTACATGTTTCATTTAATCTTTCCACATGCTTTTGAGGTAATATCACCCCTCCCCCGCTTTCACAAATGAGAAAAACTGAGGCTCAAATCCTGATCTAAACTCCATTGCCACTCATCCTTCTTTTTGTTAAATAAAAGGCAAGATAGAAATACAATATTCTATTAAACTGATATGCTTCTGTGGAGATCAACAAAACACTGTTAATCCTGCTTAGGAATTATTTTATCTTTCAAAGTCAAGCTTCCATTATGAAGTCTTGAGAATTACACAAGGACTGGTCTAGAGCCGTGGTCAGCAAACTCATTAGTCAATAGAGCCAAGTATCAACAGCACAACGATTGAAATTTCTTTTGAGAGCCAAACTTTTTGAACTTCAACTACTTCTAACACGACTTCTTCAACATAGACTCGCCAGGCCGTGGTATGTTGTGGAAGAGCCACACTCAAGGGGCCCCAGAGCCGCAGTTTGCCGACCACGCGTATAGAGTCTGGCGGGCTGTGTACCTGGTTCACTTTCAAACCGATGGACAGCAGTGAAGTCACAGCGGGCAGCAAATGTGCCTTAATGTCACAGCCAATGTCAATGCCTTAACATTTCTGAATGCTGTGAAAGCCGAACACCTTGGTACTTAGAATTCCACCACCAGGTGTACCAGCTACCAACTTTCTTGTGCGACCCACACAGGGGGATTAGCCCGTCACTACAGCGCTTACTCCAACACCAGGGGTCCGGGACGGGCTTCCAGACGTGCTGTCTGGACTTCCAACAGCTGGGGGGGTTCCGAGTGCCCCCCACACCCACCCTCACCCTCACCCAGCCCTTCCCGGCGGACAGTCAACTAGCCAACTGGTCTTCAAGTCACTCAGCAACTCCCTCAGTTCCCGGCCCGGCCGAGCCCACAGCAGGTGCTCCAGGTGTCGCCCGAGCACCGGAAGCCGCGGGGTCGAAGGACTAAGTTAGAAAGCGAATTCATTCTCTCATTCTCTCATATTCATATTCTCTCTCTCTCTCTCTCTCTCTCTCTCTCTCTCTCTCTGTGTGTGTGTGTGTGTGTGTGTGTGTGTGTGATGTGTGGGGAGGGGGCTGGGGGTCATGTTGGGAGTTTAGCAAGTGCAGAAAGTGACGGGGCCGAGGAGGGGTGAGGGGTGAGGGGGCTCCGAAGCCCGGGCATGGCCGGGGGTCGGCAAACAGAGGTGCTTGGAGGAGAGCGCGGCCCAGGGAGCCCCGGGGAGACGGCCGCGCAGAATCCCGGGAGGGAGCCCGGCCCGGGTCGGACGCCGCAGAGGAGCGCGCGGCCGGCAGCGGGTCCTCGGCCGCGGGCCAGGCGGGGCCGGGCGGCGCCTCACCTTTGCAGTTGAAGCCGGCCGGGTTGTGGTAGTCGAGCGCCGTCAGCTTGCGGCGGAACATGGTCCCGGCGTCCCGCTCTGCCCCCGGGCTGCGGCCGGGAGAGGAGGGGAGAGGAGCGAGAGGCGAGGAGCGGCGGGCGGCGGAGCTCCCGGCGACGCGGCGAGGGGGCGGGCCGGCGTGCGGACGCTCTGAAAGGACGGCAGCCTTCGCCAATCGTGGCTCAGGAAAGGCGGCCGCCGGCGGACGCCCACCAATCGCAGCTTTCGGCTGGGGAGGCGGGGCCACGTCGGGCACGTCGACGCTCAAATAAACTTTATTGTCAGCTTCCTAAGTTGTACAATGGGCAGAAAGCTCCTGAGAAGCTGCTTTCCTCTTATGTTCCAAGCCGGTTTCCTCTTGTTTTCCTCACCTTCCGGATACAGCGTGCGGAGAATAGGATATGTAGAATGTCTACCAGGGGACACTGCTCATTGGCTCATAGGATTACTCTTTAATATTTTCAGTGTATTCATTCATTCATTGAATGCCTCCTACGTAATAGAGGAGTTCTTCTTACATGACTAATAATACAAAGATTCCTTCCAGACTAGTTTGGAGTGATCCGCAGGTAATATACAACTATAATATTATAGTTACAAACATCACCAGTTATATATGTTTCATTTCAACAAATTACAATTAAACAGCTTTAGCATTTGTAGGTCATACACATGAGCAAGATATTTTCAGGAAGTTTAAGTGTAATAGCAAAAATAGGCATGTAAATAGATAGTTGTAATCTAGAGTTAGAAAGTGGTAAGTTATGATAAGTACTAAGTGTGCTGTCAGATCAGAATACAAATTGAAGGAGGCACTGTGAGACAAGGTATTTTCCAATTAAAATGCTTACTGACGGAAGCAAAAAACCCAGCTTCAAGAGTCTTGCCGCAAACAAAATTTGATCAAAGTTGCAGCTATAACCACACACTCTGATGTATGTTAGTTGTATAACTATGAAATACTAGCCAAAAAAAGAAAACCCCCACAAAAATAAACCTTTCAAGGAAAGGAAGATAATAAAGCAATCGCTTATATGCAATTGCAGATAATACATTTTTCTTTTTTTATATAAAGGAGAGAAAAGCAGCTCTTACATTTTATTTTCTGGAATTGACCCTTTAATGCAACTAAGTGGCTTGCTCCTGGCCTTCTCTTTCCATTTCAGAACCCTAAGTCGTCAGCCACTTGAAACTGGTCATAAGCCCTGGCCACCCCCAGGTGCATGGGGGAGTTAGAAGAGGATTCAGATACACAGAATGCTGAAGGGACCTACCAGAACTGAGGAGGAGATAAAGCTAATCTTGGAAAAGACATATTACAGATTATAAACATTCACCCCTCTTTTGTATAAAATAAAACATTTGCCTGCCCTCTCTCTCCCCCTTTGTATTTGAAGAAGTTCTTTGGCCTATCTTGAATGAAGTGTCTAAGAAGTGAATCTTAGGCAATTCCATTTCTGAAGACTAAGCTCTCTATGCATTCCAAGAAGGGGAAAACAACTTTTATTATCAACTGTCCTTGAAACAGGAATTTTTGAAGTAAAATAGGACAGGCTTAGGAAATTTTAGAAATTTTGGAAATTAAGGGGACCATGGAGGAAGCACAGGGCTGCAGAGCAGCACAAGATATATTCCCATAGACTAGGAAAGCTGAAAAGCTGCAACATTTCTATAGAATGAGGGAGGTGGAAACAGCAAAAGGTATATATTTACAAAATAAAGGGAAGGAAGCCCTTCATCCATAGGAGAAGAAGAAAGCACAAAGGGAAAAGAAAAACAATAAGGTGCCAAAGCCGGTTTGGCTCAGTGGTAGAGCGTTGGTCTGCAGACTGAAAGGTCCCAGGTTCGATTCCGGTCAAGGGCATATACATTGGTTGGGCACATCCCCGGTAGGGGGTGTGCAGTAGGCAGCTGGTTGATGTTTCTCTCTCATTGACATTCCTAGCTTTCTATCTCTCTCCCTCTCTGTAAAAAATCAATTAAAAATATATTAAAAAATAAAAACAATAAGGAATAGAGGGGGGTGGCGAAGAACCTCATATGTCGCATGTGAGGTTCGACTTTTGAGCACAGGAGTTACTACAGTCCCCGGTCTAAAGGAATAGTGACCAATCATAGGGGCTATCAAGGCACCAGGATCTGCAGCCTTTATAAGCCATCGGGTGAAGGAACTCAGTGGGACCCTTTCCCCCCCGCCTCACTTGGGAGTCCATTCTGTGGGACTCTTTCCCTCTCCCCATGTGGGAGTCTGTACTTGTTCTTCAATAAATCTCCACCTTTCTAAACCACTTTCTGCCTGTGGACTCATTGTTTGATTCCAGCGGACAAAGAATCCTGGTTCCAGTCCAAAAATTCCGTTTCATCCTGAACTCCAGTCTAACGGTTGATGAGAGGTTGTACAGGTGATTAATCCACCTGTGTAATTATTTAACACAGGTGTCGTCTGCACACCAAGCAGTCTTCTAGCCACTTTGGATTTGAAGCATCCATCTTATATAAAAACTGCTGTTTGAAATTTTAACCCTGCTATTTGGCTTCTGTAAATGCTTGCTTGCTTAAATAAGAATAAGGAAAATAAGACTATTCCCACTTCAAGAGGCTATTAAACTTTCCCAGGATGAAGTTATCAGTGCTGGCACCAGGCCAAGCCTTTGGTTGACGTCTCAAGGCCCCAGCACACAGGGGCTCTTTAAGAACTTGCAAAGGAGGCTGGAAACATCCCATATTTGGGAGACAAAGAAGGTAAAAACTTATAAATAGGGAACATTCCTCCATGTTCAGGCCCAGAATTTGAGAGACCTTTTCCTCTGGGACCCACACGTAATAAATGTAGCTCCATCTCTCTAAGTATTGCTTGGTTCTTCTCCGGTTTTCTGTAACAGATTCACCTGTGAACTTACACAGATACACAAAATCCTCTGCCCTCAGAGAGCCTGCCACTTGACAAGAGAAGACAAATAATATAATTATAAGTAAGTAAATGATTTAGTATTTTAGAAGGTGAAAAGTCCTGTAGGAAAACCATAAGAAGATAAAAGGAATAAGGAGTGGGGGCAATGGGAAATGATGCAGGCTGTGGTTTTAAACAGGATGGTTGGGTTAGGCTCATTGAGAGGGGGAATGCGGAGACTTGAAGGAAGAAAAGGGGACTAAGTGAGGGAAGACAGTTCCAGGTGGAGCAACCAGTGCAAACAAGAGATAAAAATAATTTGTATATGTTTAAATAGATGAAAAATCAAAAGGAGAATATAGGGTGCCCCCCCCCCAAAAAAAAAACAAACATATACACACATTTTTTATAAATAATTATAAAGGCAATGAGCAATCAGCTGTTAAAGTCCATAAATATTTTTTTTGGTACACCCTGTGTTTCATGACACATGGAAATTATATGAAATTCAAATTTCAGTGTCTATAAATAAAGTGGGATTGAAACACAGATATGCCCACTGCTAACTGGCTGCTTTGGTGCTACAAGGGCAGAAATGAATAGTTGCAACAGAGACCATCTGGCCCACAGAAACTAACTGTATTGTTTTAGAAAAGCAGAGGGGACAGTTTCACCATTATTACCAGGTCAACACATTATCAAGCGAGACAACAAATCAGAGATACCAGAAATACAGGTTGTTCTTTGAAGATTATTTTCACAAACTGCAACATTTTTAAAAGTCCTGACAGTTTTACTAGACCCCTTTGTTTAAATTATTCTTCAAAAGATAGTGAACAGAACAAGTTGGTAACACTTTGGACTATACACAAAGTCTCTATACTGAATAGAAAAACAAGCTTGATGTTTTAACAAATGCTATTAATTTAACATCCATTAAATCAGATCTTTAAAAAAAATATTTTTAATTGATTTTAGAGAGGAAGGGAGAGGAAGAGAGAGATAGAAACATCAATAACAAGAGAGAATCATTGATTGGCTGCCTCCTGCATGCCCCCAACTGGGGATCGAGCCCACAACCTTGGGCATGCGCCCTTGACTGGAATCAAACCTGGGACCCTTTAGACCACAGGCTGACGCTGAGCCAAACCAGCCAGGGCAAATCAGATCTATTTTAACAAGTGATAAATGCAAAGAGAAGCTTCAAGTCTTCTTCCTTGGAGCCTCCTGGAGAGACTACATCTCCTTCATCTCTTTCTAAGACACTTTGTTAATTATGAAGACTTGCTTCTTCTTCGTATTCTTTTTAGGTCAGGTTTTGGAATTTTGTGACTTAAATTAAAAGTAAAAGGCAGACCAGGAGAGCTCCATTTTAAGGGTAGAAATAGCACAGGAATTTCCTTAGCCATCCTGGGAACATGAAGCATTCGCCTTCCATACTTTATCCTACATGGAAAAGCTTGCGGCAATGAGAAAACAGAGAAAACAGACCCAAGAGTTGGAGAAAGGTAATTCCTGAAAATTTTCTAGGTCTTACCAGGGCCTAGATCCTGCTGTTCAGTTATGTGAATCAGTATTTTCCTATTGATGCCTGAGCCAGATTGGGCTAGGGTTCTGCCACTTAAAACTACAATAGTCCTAACATGAGGACAGATTCCAGAGAGAGTTAAAGGAAATGATCCCCATGCTGGTGGGGCTCAGCATGGAAGAGAAGGAAATGATGGCTTTAAAGTGGCCTTGGGAATGTCACACCAGAGATTTGAAGAAACAATGGATACAGGCATAGAAACAGGAGCACTGGTAGAAATGAACCAGATGGAGAAGCTGAAGAATCAAGTTCAGCACCTGTCGAGTTTGAGGGGATGATAGATGTAGCCCATGAAGGAAATCAGAATATGTCTTTCCAAAATATGCCTTTTGATATAAAATTTATTTTGAGCTGAAGGCAATTAAGAAGCAACACACTCAGAAAAAGGTCCCCCATTTTTGCCTAAAGTTAGGATATAAAGTCTCATTTTATTAGAGACAGTCTCTTACCATCCCAGAGATTTAATAGAAGATTCTGCAAATAAATCTTTTGTTAGTTTCCTCCCATTTATTTACCTTCCCATAGTTTGTGGCCCCTGAAAGAC